GCGACAGTATACTTCAGGCATAGGCCTAATTTGGTGATTGTCCTCAACTCTAAATACTGTTATCAATATATTGTACACATCAGAGTCCATCATGCTGAAATGAAACTAACGTCCCCGTGTTCATGTCGTTATTTCGGTATCGAGGTGCACTTAACAACTTCCCGATCAACACTTATTACAGGGGATACATGTATCTAGGTACCTTACTTCTGGCCTTACAGGATTCTGACATAACTTAGAACAAGCGTACATTGCATCTTCCTTAAGTGGTATTCTTAAGCTGGTATAATGCGGAGGAACCATTTACTTATGAATAGACAACTTCTTTACTGATTATCCTAAAGCCCATCCGAACGTACCATCCTTTGGAACAACATCAGCATCCGTGAAGTCAACCGGTCAGATCACAAGATACGAAAATTCTCAGAGGCAATCATCATCAAACGACTCAACCCGACAATCAACTGAGTTCAAGGTTAGTACATCCCTACAGCTTGCGATAACCTAATGAAGGCTAATCAAGAATAACCTAACCACACTTCTATGGCCATCCTCTGAACCCAAGGCCAGTCATCTTTGACAAATATGCAAGGCATCATCTTCCACGTGCTGTTGGTGATTTTTTCTTCTGAATTCACTTCTCAGTCCCATGTTTGCGTCGCAGAATATGCCGGAGAGATCGCCAAGTGCAAACTGTTAATGAACAAGCCCTCCTTCAAGAACTGAACACAATTACATCAACTTCAAATTCAACGTCTCACACAGTCAGTGCATTCTCTTCTCACAGAGGTTACTTGTCATATCTTCCTACGAACCTCTGTTCTAATACGGCCATTTTTTCCGGTTCTCGTAAAATCCCCTAGCGGCAAAAACTCACAACACGAATTATCTCCCTTGTTTCTGTCCAATCAGAACACATGTTACATCGTTGAGTTGAGTTGAGTTGAGTTGGGCTTTACGTCACATCGGCATTATTCCAACCATAAAGTGACGAGATCAAGTTTCCATTCATTACCATTTTAAGTCCAAGGTCCAAAAGGGTTATATTTTTAAAAATATATATATATATATATACATTACATTTTTATTTAAAAACAGAAAATGTCATAGCACCAAATACAAATGCAAGCAATACGTTATTCTCTTTACAAAGTTACAATTTATGATACAGGTCAATTGCAACTTCCCTCAGGTAGTTAACAATAGATCTTTTAGATTTCTCGCATCATGATGTGAAACCCTTGCAGTCGAAATGTCCAGACAGTCAGGCAGAATACACATGTTACATCGACTTAGATCCAACTTGATTAATACAAGCAAATGTGGGGCCAGAAATATCCCTCCTCTGCCGGGGACTTGTGTTGATTTGACACACAAGACATTTAATGGCTAGCTAGCGCTTGCCCGTTGTCAACGGGGGCGATGGAAACGCCATTGATCCGCCATTAAATGAGTTCTGTCTGGAAAAAACGTTTGCGCATCGCGCAGAGTAAGAGGTTCTACTTTTTCCGAAGGATACGGGAATTACCGAGGCCTTGCGAATGATCACTTTTGAAACAACGTCGCTGACTGCACAACTATACTCAGCAGCAAAAACAACGTCAGTACGAATTCAAAATTAGATAGGCACTGTTATCAAATCATTACAGAAATGGACATAATACGCGGATCAAAAACATGTTTTTGTGTACAATATTCGGGCACATCAATTAATAACTCAGCACAATTTCAAGACATTACGTGAACGTTTGCAGTCTATTCAGACTCTTGACTTCAGTATCTAGTGTGACCACCACGAGCGTCAATAACTGCAACACAGCGTCTATGCATGGAGTGAACCAATCGATTGATGAAGGCCATTGGCACCTGGAACCACACTCTGAGAAAGGCCTGGCGCAATAAATCGGCTGTGTTCGGCTTTGGTATGACAGTCTCCTCTGAATTTCATCCCAAAGATGTTCAATTCGGTTTAAATAAGAACTAAGGGCTGGCCACTGCATAATGTTGACACCGTTCTGCTGTAGGAAGTCCCGTGTAGCTCTGGCAGTATGGCCCCGGGCGTTAACAAGCTGGAAAATGTTCCGGTGACGTGCGAAATGTGGTATAACGTGGGATCTGAGAGCTTGGTCGATGTAGCGCACCGCTGTGATGCCGCCTCCTCTCCCTGGACCAAGGTTCTGGAACACCACAGGACCCACTTTCTGGTTCAGGCCTATTCCACCCCATGCCATGATGCTTGCACCTCCCCATGAGTCTCTTTCCATAACACATTGTTCTTAGTAACGCTGGCCACGTCGTTGCCATATTCTTGTTCTGCCATCTGCAGTTGATACGCAGTACCGACTCTCATATGTGTACAGAACAGTTATCCATTGCCTGTATCGCCAGTTTTGGTGTTGTAGGGCAAACTGTAGACGTTCACGCCGATGACGAGGGGTGAGGATAGGTCCACGGTAAGGTCTACGGCAATGGAGGTTCCCGCTGTTAAGACGTCGGCGTACTGTATCAGTACTGATTGGCCTTCCGTGTGTTCCCACTGTCCGGCGTGCTGTTTCGGATGCCTGCGTGAAGGGATTCTGTACATGCTGTCGCACAACATGGCAGTCTTGTCGTCTTGTGGTCACCCTTGGTCTGCCAGTACGGGGGCGATCATTGTTGATGGCCCAGAAACGTTGCTGCAGCCTGTAGATGGTCCGAACGTTGACGTGAAAGTGATTGGCAACGGCTTGTGCAGTGTGGCCAGCTTCAGTCTTCCTAGTGCCTGGTTCCTATGAGCTGTCGTGAGTCGCGGCATCCTGCTGACGTTGTAATGTGAATGTTTCAACCAGGTTTAGGGGTGCATTTTATTGGGCTGGTCCTTGTGAACAGCACGTGCAACATGAGTTGCATGAAAAACATGGAGGACATCGTACCATCTCCGAGATCAGGTTGCGTTTTTGAGACCATTTCCTGGGTTCCATTCTGAGTTTGAGAAGGAATGTCTTTGCTCAGGTAAAGTTGGAGATGTTGTCATAAATATACAATCAAAACATTAAATGAGTTTACAGTTATCCGTTTCTGCAAAGGAAAAGTCCAAACTGACGTTTCTTTTGCTGCTTAGTATATATCTGATTGCAACCAATCACGAATCCTGAATACTCGCACCATGAAAAGTCCGTTTTAGAACAGAGGTTCGCAGGAAGATATGACAAGTAACCTCTGTGGGAGGAGAATGCAGTCAGTGAGGTTACACCAGATATTGTCATTGTGCCCGGTAATTGACTTAATTCAATTATTCCGTGAACGTCAACTTATGCTGATAATACACTAAGTTGGGATTGAGATAACTTTCTTTGCTGTCGTTAATGTCAACATACTGCTACTATGAAAAAATACGGGGTGTTGCAGTATTTTATTCGTATGTATAATATCTGATCCGATATCGAAATAACTTGCTGAGGAATACATGCATTTTCGGGGCATGAAACGCAGTTAATGTGTGAACGAGACTGCTTCTTGTTTTCCTCCATAATTGTTTTGTTTGCACCGATACTCCAATGTTGATAACCAGTGACTGACCTCTTCGTAAATAACAATTGGATCTTCACTGATGGTGTTGATGAATGAAGACGTTTCCTCACACAATTTGTGTCTTTTACTGATATCGTTCAATCAACTCTTCATCGTGATTTGACACCACGTCCACAACTCCAGCACTAGCTGTTTCATTTGTTCCTCTGCAGTTTTAACTGATTTGAATTTCATTTTCCATATTTAACATGAAGCATGTGAGCTAATGTTGACTCTGTTATTGATAACTATAGCAAGCTTTGATGGTCCAGTTAAAGTTTCTTTTGTTTAAACAATTTATTTTAATATAAACGTTTGTCACAAGACATTAGAACGTCACTCTTCACAGAATAAAAGAAGTTAAATATATCTAAAAAATTGGCATCATTCTTCTTTAAACGTTTGTCATGTTCAATTGGTCGCCCACCAAACTGAATCCTGAATTATTTTGCTTTCACGCCCACAATCACACAGGTTTATATTGCCTCCATGTATGATGGCCGGAGCCCTCAACAAACACGTCTTATTCGTTACATTTGCAGCCAGACTTCTGAAATTTGACTCGAAAGTGATCGGTGGTTATAAATGCTCTTTCAGTATCTTTGTTTTCCAGAAAAGTTTACGTTCTTTGGATAACGAGTCTTATGTGCCGCTATCATTGTTTAGTTCGAGGACGCTTTTTTCCCCTGACGGGCGGTGGGGTAGCCTAATGGTTAAAGCGTTGGCTCGTCACGCCGAAGACCCGGGTTCGAATCCCCACAGTATGTTGCTGGAATATTGCTAAAAGCGGCGTAAAACCAAACTCTGTCAGTCAGTCAGTCTTCCCCTGACATAACAACAATTGTGCTTATCACGAGGACCCACACTTGTGTGTTCGTGATTGATCTGTAAGATAACGTAGTTATGCATTTCTTTGGTCAACTGTATTGATGTCGTTTCGAGGCTTAATACATGCTGGGAGCTAAATGCTGAGTGTATAATGTATATCCTAGACGTGCACTTCGGTAAAAGCAACGAGCACAGGTATTACACCAACATACCTCCTATTCAGAGTATTAACAACGAGTTCAATATGTCAATATGTTAGTTTGACGCCTCAGTCAATTGTCAATATGACATCGAGTACAAGTTACGCCTATATGTCTGTTCACAAGCTGTTTCGGACACACGTTCATTTAATATGGACCTGGTATCCTGGCTATTCATTTCATAACAGACAATGCAGACAGACATGGATACGGCAACAACTGGTGTATACCATTACCAATATAATTGACAGTACCTGCCATGCTACTGACAAAATCTGTGGCAATATATATCTGTTCTGGTGACATGGCAAAGTCGTCTCAGTTCGCTGTACGGAGTTGCATCCCTTTGTGACCTTCTGTAACTTTTTGTTATATAGAATGTATACAACTGGTCAATTACTGCAAATAGTCGACATAAAAGTATGAAATGTTATTTTTTATTTGAAATTATTTCTTCTGCGTCTTTTTGACTACCATTTATAACAGGAACCTCGTCTTTTAGAGTTGGTTTTTCAATGAACACTGTTTGCTCCACATCTTTGGGTTGTGCCCACGGCTGAAGCTCACCTGATCCAAACGGAATGTATATGACTGTCGCCAGCGAAGCGATCCCAGCAGTTACATAGAAGACCAGTTGCCACTCGGAGCGGGTGCCCTGAAAACACATGTTCTAAATCTACAAGTAAGTCTGAATTTATTCAGTACAGTATAACTGCTTACTTGGAGACACGGTCCCCGGCGTACGTTACATAACATGGTGAAGACACAAAGTTTTAAGTTAAGCAGGCAAAGTAAATCATCTGGACTTATTTATGAAAATGCCCGAGTCGAAAATATCCTATTTGTATATTACGGAAGCGAAGTAGGGCCACGATGAAACTTTTTGTATGTGTCACTATCTCCTACGTAGAATATACTATCAAATTATCTCCTACGTAGGACGTACTATCTCCTACGTAGTACTTAACATCTCCTACGTAGTACTTAATATCTCCTGTAGGAGATGATCGATATACGTTTATATACATTAATCTCCTATGTAGGAGTCCTAAAGTCCTACGTAGGAGATATTAAGTCCAACGTAGGAGATGCTAAGTCCTATGTAGGAGTCCTAAAGTCCTACGTAGGAGATATACTAAGTCCTACGTAGGAGATACTAAGTCCTACGTAGGAGATAGTAAGTACTACGTAGGAGATAGTAAGGCCACAAAAAAAATTCACCGTGGCCCTACTACGCTTCCGTAGTATATTGTCATATACATGAAAGTTCTGAGGAATCTCCAGTATTGAACAATCCAAAGTTCTATTAAGTCCCCATATACATAGACTCCATGTTTTCCAACTGATTCATTTTAATGGTATAGTTAATTGATGTAGTATGAAAATAGCACCGGACTAAATACACATCCATAAATTATATTAACAATAATTTATTACACTCTGTAAAGCATCATATGTTAGAATACGCCGAATTAGAAGTATGCCATATGGAAGTACGTATGTTGCGCTATACAAATGTATAAACATACCTTTCCGCTCTGTGGCAAATGTTATAAAATTTTGTGATTTGCCATTTTCACAAACATAATAGGTAGTATAGATTTACAATGCCAATTCGCTTAACTAAAAGTTAATAAGCATGTCTATATGATAATGTAAATCGTCGGCTCGATAAACTATGTCACGGGTATGAACAATGCTGTACTGAACATGCTGGTTACATTATTCAAATAAAATCTAATGATTAAGTGAACATTACAAGTTAATATAAGCACAATTGATGCCGTAATACTATATACAAGCCCCATTGCTGAGGAAATTGAGTCCCAAGTTGGATTCATTGGTTGTTGTTGACGTAATTCAGGAATGTTTAAAGGTACTATACAGACACTTTTTCACTACAGATAATGATCAGATACATCGTGGGGGACGGTTGGCTAGCCAAGTGGTTAAAGCGTTCGTTCGTCATGCCGAAGACCCGGTTCGATTCCCCACATGGGTAGAATGTGTAAAGCCCATTTCTAGTGTCCCCCGCCGTGACATTGCTCGAATATTGCTAAAGTAGGTTTAAAACTAAACTCACTCACTTACTACAGCTTACTGAGATGTACTTACACATGTGTCTGTATCAGAAACATAGCACGATACTGTTGAGGGTGTCGTGTTACTTTGCAAGCGGCAACAGCTTCATGAAGTTAAGCCATGCACCCGTCTTTCCATTTAATACTATATATGTATGGAGGTGTCCATTTGAGAAGTAGTACTCACATTAGGCGTTAGCCTTGACACGACGTATGGAGCCAACACCCCTGGTAGAGAGCCGATGGCGTTTCCTATACCAGACAGGATACCGGCGAACTGGCCAGCGATGTCCACATAGTTTGTGCTGAATCCACACATCCCGAAGCCAACAAACCCCACAGCAAGACACAGCATCGAGACAGCGAACAGATGCTGGCCATGTTCCGCCTGCGCCAGGATGACCATGCAGATACCAGGAAGCAATGTACCTGAAAGGTGTGACATGAAATTATTATTGAAAATATTCAATTTGAAATATGACGCTAACCTGTGTGTATGCGGTAACACCAGGATGTTACTTTGTCATCTTTGTACATTAACACCCCTGACCCTCCCCATCTTGGCTTTATCATTATATTGTTATCTTTGTACATTCTCCCACCTTGCATTGAGTGAACATTTCTCACCCCCCTCCCTCTGTCTGTCTGTCTGTCTCTCTCTCTAGATGTATATTAACACACACACACACACACACACACACACACACACTCGCTCCTTCTCCTCCCACCCCACACCCTAACCCCCACCCTACACCCTAACCCCCACCCCCCTACATGTTTTAACTCTTTGCACTGACTCAGTGTTAACCTCATTATTAAGGAGCAAGAATTAGCTTGATAAAGAATAAAAATAAGTTGTTTTCAATTCGAGTCAATCGTGTCAGGTATTCATTAGGGTGCCAGGACCAGTAACTATCTAGATTAACTAACGTAATATCACTTTATAGATTTGCGATTTCAAGTTGTGAAAATCATTATGTTTCTGGCTGCTTCTATATACAGCACCAAGGCTGTTGCGGTTCACTACAACTCGCCCTCCATTTGCATTCTGTGCATACCGAGGGTAATGGTGATCTTCCGTGTAACCCCGACGGAACACAGTTTCCTAGATATGAGCAGATCCGCCAGGAAGCCGCACACAAACGTGGCTATACCCATGCAAACAACAGGCACCATGGAGTAGGCGCCATTCTGCGGACATGGAAACGCAACTAAAGATAAACAAACAAGCTAAAGCACAGTTTAATAGGAATCATGCTGTAAAGTTGACACAAGGTAATTCCAAGAGGGACAACAGGCTCGATGTCAAGCCAGCTTCTCTACCATAGACCTGGCTCTCGATCCACAAAGCATTCGTATCGCTTGATATGCATATGGATATGGATCGGGACCCAGCTCTTTCGAACTCTTCCATGTTAGAAAACTGTGATAGCTAAAGTTTAGGAAGCTGTTTGACTTGCTTGCTTCTTAACGCGGCACTCAGCAATATTCCAGCTGTATGGCGGTAACCGGGACTGCACCAGACAATCCACTGATCAACAGCATGGGTATCTATCTACGCAATGGGGTTACAATGACATATGTCAACCAAGTCAACGAATCTGACCACCCGCTCCCGTTAGACGCATCTTACGACAAGCATGCATTTCTGAAAAAAACATTCTAACCTTGATGTTCACAAGTGTTTAGATTAAATGAACGAGAAAAATACAATAACCGGTTTGAACACAGTCACAAACGGAAACATGTTAGGAACGTAAGCACATCGTGGTTAAGACCCACTATCTTCATTCTGAGATTACTGTGCAACTCCTAATAATGACTACATACAGTATGCATGTATATTAATGGTAGATATACCGATAACATGAGGCTTAGAGAGTCAAGCAAGTCAACCGATCGGTTAATGGTAGATAAACCGATAACATGAGGCTTAGAGAGTCAAGCAAGTTGTTTCATCACACAGTCAGCTATATTACGGCTATGGCAAGTCAGTCTGAATTACCAAACTCGTCACACAAAATGCAAAGGTGAAATGACACACCAATACCATCCCGGTGTGTCAAGTCTTAACAACAGCATGCTTGGGCCTGTGCCGGCAACAACATTATCGACATCGTTGTGCATCCTCTCCGATTGAAGCAGGTTCGGTTAAGCTATACAATAACTAAGACAGCAAGTACAATTGACAGAATTTTACCGAGCTGAAGTCGAGTCTATGGACATCGTTGAAGTACGTGGGCATCTGTGTGAGCAGCATATACAGACCGTAGTTGGTGAGGAAGTTGTCGGCCATGAGTGCATAAACGGGACGGGACGTGAACATACTTCGCCACGGGATACGACGTACCTGAAGGAATGCATAATATCTTGTTAGGCCTGATGAGCATGTCAATATAGCACAAACACCGTTGTGTCGGGGTTGAGGGACCCAAAGAATTTGTAGGGAATACTTCGAGCTATCCGACGTTCGACACAACAGCAAAAGGATGACTAAATAAGCACTACCAATGCTTTTACTTCGGGACAAACGTAAGTTCGACTCATAAAAGTTCTCCACAACGGTGTCTGCCTTTTTTGCTAGGAATGTTTTCGTTATTTTGGGGCAATTTATACTACACGTCTGTATCTGTAAGATACTAAATATATGCTCTCTGTGAACATATGTTTGTCGAGGGCGTGAGAAAATGAGATTCTTGACACCATGAACGATGCTCCAGCCAAAGACGGCATAATATATACTTAACATGTTTCACTTCTCTGGAGATTCGAACCCGGATCTTTTATCTGAGAAGCCTCCGCCCTAACTATGTTTTTGCATTGCCCGTTTATAGGTAATCAAAACGTAGTAGGTAGTGCACACATGTATATTTACAAATACATGTCAGCTTCGAATTACATGTAGCAAGATTAGGGTTTGCTAACTTTCGTGACCCACTCTGCTCATCTGCACCCTGTGGCGAAGGCTGGCTTCGATATAAGATTTCTCTTCTGTAGATATAGATGGCACTTGTGAAGGCTGATTGCGGGCAAGCAGAATCCACAACAGTGTCCATAGAGCCGCAATACCACCTAAGAAATACAGAGAGTATATCCTTGACTGCATTGTCTATTAAGGCACAACGTAGCATGTACGCCCGTCAAGCGTCCCGAATAGTAATTCAAGAAACAAGAACAGTCCAGGGGCTCCTTTCACGAAGCAACGTTTACTAAGGATAACTTTAACTCCCATTCTTTAACATTGCACTAAGGTTACCTTAGTGACTTAGGGTCGCCTTAGTGCTTTGTGAAAGGAGGCCTCGGTGTTTTTGCGTGTGATATGAGATATGATAATTATTATGATATCTCGGTTTGATAGCACTGTAAACCGACAGACGTCCAGACTGGAACTCACTCTCTTTTTCTCGCACACACATGTACACAAACAGAGAGAGAGAGAGAGAGGGGGAGAGAGAGAAGAGAGAGAAAGAGAGAGCACGCCACGCCACGCCACGCCACCACAACTCATCTTACCCTTCCATGTTTTTAGCTGCCACTTGCTAACATCGCTTTAAGGAAGGGCATCCATATGAATGCTAAAGCCAACTCACCATCGCACACTGTGTGGGCGTAACAAACGCGTCTACTAATTGTCATCTCATTAATCATTTCAAACACAATAATCACAATACAATTTTTGTACCATAAATACATTTAAAATGTCGTCAATTTCACACAATGTCAAAGGACGACATCACACTGACGAATATAAGCGGCACTACTAATGCAAGTATGTGATGAGCTAAAAACTAAAAAAATAACAATAATAAATATATCCAAGCGTTTCACCTGTTGTGTAAAAAATGAACGGCCAACCGAGACTGAAGTCATCTCCGCACAGAACTCCACCAATGGGGTAAACAACAGCATTGCCAATGGTGCTCCCTGTAACACGGGGATCAAAACGTGTAAGATATACAACCTACATCTGATATGTCCACAGTCCCGTTAGTTCTTGAGAGTGAGTGAGTGATTACAAATGGGAATATGGGTGGAGCTTTGTCAATAGGTCGATTTTTTCCGAGTTTTAAAATTTAATAATTTGACATTTTCATTTATGGGATTTCTGGTGATTTGATCGGTGTATTTGCTAATGACATCTCATTCACGTTGTGAACAAACTTAAAAGGTGACGTTTACAAAGTATGCACTTTACCTGTTGACGTTCTGACCTGAACTACTTTATATGGGAAATTCTCGAATGAAACAATTCTCTAGTGTCTCCCCTGCTAAGACTGACTGAGTTTGGTTTTACGCCGTTTTTAGCAATATCACAGCAATATCACGGCGGGGGACACCAGAAATGGGCTTCACACATTGTACCTATGTGGTGAATCGAACCCGGGTCTTCGGCGTGAAGAGCGAACGCTTTAACCATTAGGCTAACCCCCCCACCTTCCGCCCCTTCCCCCCTGCTAAGAACGATCGTACGGACTGGAAATGTCGTTAATAGCTTAACGTTTCATTTTCATACAAAGATTCATTAATGCCTGTAATCACATCACATGAAATAGACACACTGAAAAATGCATGACTATTAAACCATCAGCTTATAAGGGTGTGTCGTCTGTTGAAACTGTCGAGTTTGAATACTCGGCCAAACTTGCCCAGTTCACGTCAAACATTGCAGGCCTAACAATTGGCATGATGTCACGAGGCATTTTCAGCTCCCTGTGATTTCACGTGCATTGTGAAAAATCCAAGAGTAATTTATTCATTCAACTGGCATGTGCTTGGTGACAAACAGTCACAGTTTCCATTTTGTATTATTGTTCACGCATTAATCATGCGCAAAGTTTCTTATTGAGTATTTAATGCTGGTAAATCACACAGTACTTAAACAAGAATGTTGACTTAGAGTGAGTGAGTTTAGTTTTACGCCGCACTCAGCAAATTTCCAGCTATATGGCGGCGGTCTGTAAATAATCGAGTCTGGACTAGACAATCCACTGATCAACAGCTTGAGCATCGATCAACGCAAATGGGATACGATATGTGTCATGAGGATGACGTGTCAACCAAGTCCGTGAGCCTGACCACCCGATTCTGTTAGTCGCCTCTTTCGACAAGCATGGGATACTGAAGATCAATTCTAACCCGGATCTTCATGGGTATGCTGACTTTGAGTCATGTATGATGTTATATTGATATCATGACTCTCCTTAATTCTTAGTAGATAATGAGTTGGGTATATAGTTATTGAACTAGATCAACTATGTTACGTAATGTGGAAGAATATACCCGCTACTGGGTCACTCCATTGCAGTGTAACGGTAACAAAATTGTCTAAACTGTGCGCGAGTCAAATTAACATCCCTAAACTTCAAAATACGAATTTATACAAACATGAATCGAACTTACGAAGTTCATAGCATTAATACTCCAGGAAACCACTAAACCGTGAGATTAATAATCATAAGACATGCTCTGCTTAATTTAAGTGCATCGCGTCACTGAGCTAATTTCACCTAACATATATATGTTATTTTGGGGATTACACTTTCTTAGTAAAGTGCAGATTCTAGTACATCTGTTAGGTGGTTGAGCGGGTTAGGCGTCTGAGCGGGTTAGGTGTCGGACTCTGAGGGTGTGGGTTCGAATCCCGGGTGGGACTACACCCAACAAAAGTACTAGAATCTGTACTTTGCTAAGAAAGTGTAATCCCAAATATAACATATGTTACATTTGACAACTTTCTAAATGGACATTGTGTATTCATAATTTCACCTCTCTTATATAAATCGTTTAATCATTACAATGCCATACGTGGACATGTATATGCAGGTTCTACCACCCCTATCAGCGTCAACAGTCCATGTTCATCCCTGACGTATCATAACGTAAATATACTGAGGGAAACAAATAAGGGAAGACCACTTCATGGCGGTGTTCCTTTATTTATTCTAAGATTTTCTTCCACTGCTGGTGATGAAAACTGGAAAATATTAAATGAGCCTGTGTTCCTTTATCTATTTCTCTCAGTATTCTTTTGGATGTTATGGGTAGTTCTATGATCACCTGATATGCAGACTGAGACAATACTACTGTATTCATTTGGCGGTGCCCACTTTGACCAGAAAGTTGCCATGCTTGGATAAATCACTGCCTGAAAATAAACTCGAAACATGAGCTTCCTCCATAATGAAACGCAGAAAAATAAGAATTATCATTAAAATGTGAATCTGTAATGATCAAATCACGCCTAGTTAATAAGAGCCCAGTCTTCCACGAATGAAAAACAACACAGAAATTGAAACATGGAACGATTGTCAGCACACTTTACAGTTCATTTAGACTTTGAAATATTCCCCGGTCTTGCTTTTTGTGTCACATAACTTCATTTGTTATTTATGCAAATACACTGGATTGATTTAACTCTATAGAAAACCAACTGCCATTCATGCCGGGTACACTGACTGTAACAGAAATGAACTAAACGCTCGGTGCATTCACCACAGTGGCTACAGTGTACAATGCGTAAGCATGAGTGAGTGAGTGAGATTCTACGCCGCTTTAAGCAATATTTCAGCAATAACTAGAAATGGGCTTCACACATTATGCCCATGTGGATAATCGAACCTGGGCTTTTGGCGCGGCGAGCGAACACTTTAATCACTGGGCTACCCCACCGACCCACAATGCGTAAGAAGCACCTCGTGATGGAACACCTGTCTTGACAGTTACTCACCAGACTTATACCAAACAGAAGCCTCGTAGACAGGAATAGGTAGGGGTTTATCCTAGCAGCCATCGGGCTGAGGAGTGTGAGGAGAGCAGAGGCGCCTACACCGAGCCCAATCACCATCCGGGCCCCGAACCTCTGGCTCAACCAGCCAGCGAACAGCTGACCTATCGTATAGCCCCAGAACATAGCTCCGAGAAGAAGACCTTGGACTTGTTTGGACCACGTGAACTCACCTCTCTGGGGAAGATATCCAAAACGTTAGTTCACCAAGTTCATGAATTTACCAAACCGAAGAATATAACAGTCCGTTAATTCACCCAACTGAGGGAGATGAAATTTAATTGACTGGACACAGTGTGTAAGAAAGCAAAATGAAGTAACTCACCAAACAGGTGCACATTCCATTAACATACTCACTCATTTTGTCTGACCAAGCTTATAATCGAGGAAAGCTTAAGGTTTACACGAGAGAGGATAGTTTGTTTTTTTCAGAAACGCATGGTAGATTACTTTCAAAATGAATAACTAGTGCGTGTTAAACATTTTATCAAACTCCTGGTCCAACAACGAGCACTAAATGACCCTACTGCTATAATAATGTATATATTATACGCACACTTAATCATTTGTATGTATAGGTTCAGCTCACGTTCAGCTCACGTGATATGCATTCTCTTACAATGCACTCGATGATTCTAAATATCAAATTTTCAGCGTTGCAAACATTTTCGTGAGACATCATGGTTGCAAGCAAATAATGTGTCACACAATCCGCCCTGTTCAGTATATGAATCCGTCTTACATTACACAGAGAGAGAGAGAGAGAGAGAGAGAGAGAGAGAGAGAGAGTAGAAAACGGATGTCTTAGCTTCTTTGTAAATTACGCCTTTATACACAGCCCTGCGATCTAAACAAGCATTCCTTCATGCGTAACTTGGTAAAGAGAGCGTGAAAGAAAAACATATGTTTGTGTATAACTTAGTATACAGGTAGGTAAGCAGTCAGGCAAGCAGGTAGACAGGTGCGTATGTAACCTCACCTGTCCGCACTCTCTCGAGGTAGTTGTGTTGTGTTCACCGCTGCATTCGTGTGGCATGGTGAAACTTATGTTGATTTCGGAACTCACATTGGCGTCATTAGTTCCAGCAGGACCAGATATGTATTGGTGATCAACCATGCACACTATGGATATACTCAGGTTGTACATCAGCAGACCCTGGACAGCGAACCCCATACTGTACAGGAGAGCCAGCTGGTAGCGCTTCGTGTACCATACTGGAACTAACAAAACATGAGTGTCCAATGCTTGCGCCAGGCGTTGACATTCACAAATATGTGCTTCAAAAATATGTGTATAACTTCTAAATGCCGTTCAAAGACAGATACAAAATACATAATTTCATTTGTATATTTTGGCTTGCTGATGTAGCAGTATATTGTATGACTAGAGCAATTGACCCGTGAAGATCCGGGGTAGAATAGGTCTTCAGCAACCCATGCTTGCCACAAAAGGCGACTATGCTTGTCGTAAGAGGCGATTAATGGGATCGAGTGGTCAGGCTCGCTGACTTGGTTGACACATGTCATCGGTTCCAAATTGCGCAGATCGATGCTCATGCTGTTGATCACTGGATTCTCTGGTCCAGACTCGATTATTTACAGACCGCCGGCGCCGCCATATAGCTTGAATATTGCTGAGTGCGGCGTCAAACTAAACTCACTCACTCACTGGAGCATTTACATTGAAATATGGTACACATAACACCGTGTCTTCCTCGAGTCTTATTGTACCGTTCTTGCGGATAACTCAACACGCCCTAGTACTTGATGTCAGAATCTACATTAGTCTTAACAAACAGAATTGTCGATAAATGACGAATGAAGTAAATAAGTGATTTTATTAATCTCTATTTAGATTTGAATTACAGGTATTGATCTATTAACGTTTTCAACATTTATGTTATTGGGACACCAACACTACCTTGCCATGTGTTCGTGAAGGGTTGCCGTGATATTGAGATGCAATATATATTTTGGACGGAATGGACACTAACCATACATGCATATTACGTACATAAACCAAAAACAACTTGACAATATCATAATTAGAATGCTATGCATGTTTGATGCAATACCAAGAACGTGACTAGAATAATTCCAGATGCCTTCTTGCAGTTACCATAACTCATATTGACGGGCTCAGTTAAACAAGGCCTGGTTCTACTTCTAATTTGAAAATTACTCGATTCTAACTGGTCAGTCAGAGGTTATCAAAGTACAAAACACACACTTTGACTGACACAGCGATTAACAGAACCTAATGCTTAAAAAATACGTGTTAAGTCATTGTCGGGGGCATTTAAATACAATCCATACAATTATAAGTTACAAAATAAAAACAACAATGATTGTTCAATATTCAAAGGATATGTGACAATACATTATTTTACTGCAGACATCACAATAGACAACGTATTTCAAGATATTTAACAAACTTTATGGATAACAACTTGTTTATTTCGTGAGTGCGACGACGTTTCGTTACAGATTCTTGTACCGTTGTCAAGCAGGAATTTCTGCTTGACAACGGTATAAGAATCGTCGCGACCACGAAATAACGAAGTTGTTATCCACAAGGTTTGTTCAATATTGTACGCCAAAACTTCTAAGATGCCACTCAAACAAGTATTTCAAAGTCTTGGCGACAACAGAGGCCTCGAATTGGGCCTTTACTATATCGACTGTGACATCAAAGTGATTCATTTACACCTTCAGTATTACAGAAGGGAAATTACTGTGGTTGGGGGAATGTGATTCAGCCTTACCATTCTTTCTATCTATCCACTTTTCATATATGAGGTTCCATTTCCAGTTTACCTCGGTTTGTACATTTTGTATTAGGTTTCAACTAAGGATAGAAATTATGTTACCACTACTCGTAATATCGCACGTGGTTGCTATGCAACGGAACATGATCCACATCCCTTTCCAGCTTCTGTGGTAATCTATACCATTTGGATGCCATGAAGCTGTTATACGTGATTTCAGGTTATTTTTAACTTTGGTTATGTGAATTAATAACTTTGATTGTTAGCGGCAATACATTTAAAGGGGGTTGAAGTAGCATAAAACGATTGTCCCCCTGGGAGGGTATGTAAATCCCATTTCATTCAAAGTCTTTCCCATCCTCCGTGTTTTAATCGCAGAATATATGTTCTTTTATTGTTTGGCTAACTGGAGTACAATCGCCAACGGCTGAAAGGATGGTGAAAATCAGCCGGGGTCGACGCAGGCTACAAAAGTACTCGAAGTCCCCAAGAATGGTGATCTACCTTTAGTTGTTGGCGATCTATAACCTGTTTTCATATTTTCTTGTTCTCTTTAATAACATCGTTTTATGATAGCATGCTAGTTTTACCTTGATATCTGTTATACTCTACTAGTTTTACTGTTCGACGACTAAATATTGCCGATGCGACGATAAATATGAACTCATACACTCACGCACGGAGTTTTAGGGAAAGGGTCTTTGTGAGAGTTACCAGACATGTAATCTAAATGATATTTTCGTGATGACATACTTTTATTAGACAAATTAACAGCTTTCTTATCAAGCTAAGGAAAAGTATTTCATACCACACAGAACAAAGGGTTATTATAAATAACTGACGTTTGAGTGTCTGGAGAAAGTCTGTGTCATATGTTTTCCTCAAACTGTTCCATTTGTCACCATGGAAATGAATGATTGAATTGAATTAATGATACCGGGTCACAATGACCCCAGGTTTCCATCTAGGCAACGTAGTCATCCCAAATATCGTGCCGCCATTTGTATCTAATACAAAGTTCTTTTTGAACTATATGGTATAGATCGTTTACAAAGATGCATCTGACACAGTGCAACAAAGGAAACTGCAGAACCTTCACAGAGCATACGACAAAGATACTCATTATTGACTACATGCTATGGCGAGAATCCGCTCGCGACACTGGGGTTAGAAAATGAAGTGCGGCATCGCACTTCGCCCAATCGATTCGGAAAAAGTGTGTGTTCTCCTAAGATAGACGCTATAGTGATGTGGAGGATGAGAGGCCAACCTTTCGACTCGACACAGAACGATGCTACAGTACTCACTATTTGGTTTTCGTAATACTTCTTCATGATGCATCTCAGTCCTCTGTGTCGCTTTCATCTGTTTCGTTAGGTGCGCCAGCCTGGCTGATCTCCAACGCCGTTGTGACGGAGCTGAACATCGATCCAGCTCGCATCAGTTAGGCGGATAAATAGTCGGAACACGAATCAGCGTGGAAGCCCGTTGGCGATGAACGCTCCTGCATTTCACAGTGACAGTCTGGTTGCTGTGCCGTAACGGGGGGTCATTGTGACCTGGTGTTGTGCCAGAATGTGGAATAGGTGAACATTGATTCGGACTTGGTGCTCATTCAGTGTTATCTAAAATCTTATTCCGGTATAATAACACAACTAATGTATGCACTCCAACGGTATAGTAACGAACAGTGATAGACAAATCACACTTACAGGATAGCATCTAATCAAATAAATATTTTAGTTCGACAATAGACATGTATGGACCTATATCGTGACAATAACACGGGAACCGGTAGGAAAGGTTTTTGGCAATAATTCTTGCCTGAGGCTAAAGTGATCTGGTAGTCAGGTTAGCTGATGGTGTCACAACTACCTCTCGACGACCATGGTATCAGTCACTAGATTGCCTAGTACAGACAATAATACTCATGGCTTGCCGTGACAAATTGGAATGCTCAGGACAGCGTTAAAGTACAAAGAGAATTGAGGTTGATCGCTGTGTTCAAGATGGAAGCACTTAATCACAGGGTTGTATGCACAGGTGTCAGTGTGCGCGCGCGCGTGTCTATCTCTCTCTATGTTAGTCTCACAGTCCCTGAATCACATTATTTTCAGATCTCCCCAGCTCTTACTGCAAAGCGAAAGCCCTAGATAAAGCAAGTCTAGATTTCTTCAATTTCTTAATTTCCCATCTCACTATGGCTCCTTATTTATTTAAAACGTATTGTTTGTTTCTATTAAAATTATGTATGTTCAGAGACTAAGCCTTAGCCTATCTCGGAGTCTGTGTGTATCGGTGTGTTTGTGTGTGTGTCTCTCGCTCTCTCCCCACCTCCCCCTTCTCTCTCTCCTACTCTCTCTCTGTCTCTCTGTATTTCTGTATGTTTGTAGTGAGTGAGTGAGTTTAGTTTTACCCCGCACTGTAATTATATAATGCTAGTTCACTAGTTCACTGAGATATCTCAGTCCTCGGTTTAAAGTGCATAACGAACGAGTTACTTCTCTCCGCGCAGTTGACGGTTAGCCAAACATTGAAATTATATTCAGAAGCTGGGCACATTAATCCTATTCAACTTCAGATCAAAAACGCCGTGCCCAGCAGAGCATTAAATTGCTCTGTAATGTAATACTTAATCACATTTGTATTTGCATACACACATTCCCATCTAATGTGATGCATTGAAATAGATCGGACGTCATTGTTCATACAAGTACCAGGGCACGGCCAAGGGACGTAATTCTTGTCGACTACAGAAATTTAAGAGTCTGGACCATGCAAACCCTCTGTTGGACAACCGAAATGAATTTGAGTTTCATGGGATTCGTTTACAATGAAAACTGCCGTGAGCTACAGAGCATATCGCCACAATAACCATGCAAAAATGAATGTAATAACTTTTGACCCACGGTTCAAAGCTATTAGTTGTTATCGTTCATTTTCTTCAAAAGGTTTTGTAAGATCGGAAATGTGGATTGTGTGTTGTTTTGTGTCAACAACATTTTCTTTCAGTGTACAAAGAATGATGTCCTTTGTCAGTTTCAAATTGATTTCATACGTTGTCGAAATTGTTTCACCTGAGCAAAAGTTGTGCATTTGAAATGTTTTGGACTTCGCAAACGATATATATCATTGGTGTTGTGAGGTCTTATGCATATAGCGCAGGTTAGAAATCAGGTGAGTCGGTGAGTTTAGTTTTACGCCGCTTATGTTAATGATACACAGCGGCTTATTCCTGGACTTTTCGAAGTGTAATACATGAAAGTTCCCTCAACTACTTTCAGACAATGTGCAAAATGCTGCAAACTGGTTACGAGCGAGATTTCACGGGAAGAGCTTTGTGAAAAGCTTTAAGCATTCATTTTTAATTCCATGTCAGCCAAACAAAATTGCGTAAAATAGGATAAAAAATTCGAATAAAGGTTAAATCGATCTTCGCGTATTTCGTTTGTAGCCACATGAGTCTCAACACAAATGTGTCTGGTCAAAAGTAGTTTTTGTTCTTGTAGGCTCAAGTTTATCTTTGTTAGACATTGTTGTATTCTAAATATTTTATACGTTTGTTGAAATTGCTTCACCTAAGCAAAAATAAATGCATTTGAAATATTTTCGATTACACAAACGTTATCCATCCTTAATGTATTCCGTTGTATCATCTTGGTGTGAACAAAAAAAAACCTATATTTTCAAGTGAATTAAGTGTACAATGGTTACGTGTCAAAACCTGACAAAGAATATTTGTAAGGAAAGACGGTTTGATCTATTTTCATGTCATAAACAGCTGTGCGTTGAAGATGATTGATGTTCCAGAAAGAAATACGTGTTTACTGGATAAAACATAACTTGTGGTGTTCTGGAATGTGTGATGTAAACTTGCATTTGGCTCGGTTTCACCATCAACACAACACACTTTGCTCTAAGTATATGTCTTCCTACATAGGGAAATCACACGCTCTGCGACACATATAATCGATAAGAAAACGGAATGATGTGCGCATATCATACACCCTCTTTGGAAATAGCTTCAAACGTTGTCTTAACATTTAGCAAAAACGTACGATGAAACAGATGTTGTTCACTTTATACGACGAAGCAGGCAACAATGAACATTTGACAGTTTTAGCTATCTTCAGATACCATTAGAACATAACAACACGTATACCAGACACAGTTTGTTCTTGCTTGTTTGTTGCTTAAAGTCGCCCTCAGCAATATTCCAGCAACCAATGTTGTGTAAGAATGATCCATATGTGTGATAATGTCTTTAAAATATCCCCATTGTTCATATGTAAGATCGCAAACCTATGTTCTTCTCCAACTTTGTTACGTCGGTTTCTTTCAGTTTTAATGATTCCGATACCCCAGCAGTAAATAAGTTCATAAATATAAAGTAATGAAAACACGTTCAGCAAGTAAGGTTAATGCTTCAATGTCTACCTAAACCAATATAATGAATGAATTAAAAACGATCTTCGATGTTAAGAATAATGTACACAAGGAGCTTGTCTAAGTGCGCGGATGTCAATTTATTCACCCTCTTCGTGAAACACATTCAATGTGACAGGGTTCGTGTTTGCTCCCGTAGGAGGTGAATGACACACGCAGCTGAAACTGAAGTACACAAACACAATACCAAATAGTAACAACGGCAATTTGCATTGGAACAAAGGATAACATGGCGATTCTGACTGACAACAAATTTGAAAGCTGAGACTGATAATTAGGTGTTCATACTTATGTATGAAGATACGTACTTTAACATGGGAGTCATACATTCTCTCCCTTTTCTGCAAACCACGATGTATCATCGTACAGGTATATCATAGTTACCTGTAAAGACTATTAACCTTTTCTGAAAATACACTGAAAAACACACATTATGTCCATATCAAATAATGTAGATTTGATACCTACAAGCAACTATTCTTTGCTATGGCACCTTCATTGATCACTTATCAAAGTGAAAGAACACACTGCATAAAAATGTGTGTTTCTAAAGGCTGAGGAGATCTGAGAGGCAGATGATTTTTTAATAGCGGCCAAGGGGGAGCTAATCTGGTAAACATATGTCAAGATCACCGGCACTTCTACTAATGGTGTCAGGAAGCAGCAATCCTTGCACGTTACACTATGATTATGGTCCTGGTCCTTTAACTCCGTATTGGTTTGAGGGTTGCAAGAAACAAATGCTGCATCAGTTCTCGAGGTCTGTTAGATGGGCACCCTCGAAATCCAGTAATCATACCCTTTTGTACGAGAATAAGTCACTGGTACTCTTAAGAAATATTAGGGTTATCGGCTCGTCACAATGAGAGTGCTGGTAGCTTCGATGTCATGTCCGACGCCTCGTGTGCTTCAGATTAACGTCAGCTTCGGTTGTGGTGTGTTAAAGTGCTTATTAAATACAATCAAATATAGAATTAATGAAAATGTAATCCCTCCAGAGTGAACTTGTGATTCAACGATGTTTCGTTTTGGTTTTGTCTTTCCTTCATTATATTTCATACACTTGAATGTTCTAAGGCTTTGGGACACTTCACAATCGAATCTGGAATATTTTGATTTGGTTTTTCGATGAATATTACTTCCTGTGTTGATTGTGGTTTTGCCCATGGCTGCAGCTCACCGGAACCAAACAGGATAAAAACAAGGGCCGAAAGTCCTGCTATTGCAGCAGTGACGTAGAAAGCCAGTTGCCATTCCTGTCGGGTACCCTGAAAAGGAAACATCTCATGGTATTACTGAACATGTCAGCAAGTCAAAATCGGAATACTCAGATGGGTTTTACTGTTTTCGGTATTTCGATTGTTCAGAAACACAATCTACCACTCATGTGTGTACTATGTTTCATATTTTATAGACACAACTTCCCTCTAAACATTTCACACAAACTACATCAACCTATAGTTCGTGCCTTCAGAACCACGTTGTTCTATCAACAATTTTGGTAAAATATGAGTTAGGTTCCAAATGAAGTTCTTGTACATATTCTACTCCTTGTACATATTCAAGATCTTTTGCAAAATGTAGCTAGAACATGAAAATCGTTGCATACGCTAGTACATTCAGTTCGGGAGCTTTGGAAACATATTGATCTGTCTTTTCAAGAACTTTCTGTTGTGGAATTCCAAAGTATTTTGAAACTTTGAATCTTTGCCATATGTCATTCCATGAAAGTGTCTCTGTGGTAGACTACTCCATGACAATAGGAGTAGTGAGGGCGGAACATCTCACCAAGTTGGAACTATCCTATGTGAAAATATCTACTCTTGCCTTCCTAGCCAGTGTATCCAACCTCGAAACCTTGAAATTGGAGCACTGCTCATCGTTAGTTGATGAAGACTTTGAAATCATCAAATACTTAATGGATGAGTCTTCTGTTGGTCAATTTCAACTTTACAAAGGTATCCCCCCAAAAGCTGAAAGACACCCAAGAAAGATAGATGCGCTAGATGTGAAGGGCACAGGATCAAAGAGCAGTTCAACCAGCTGGATGAGGAACTCTGTTCAAGACATGAACGTCACCTGGCATCAAAGGTAGCAACAAAAGCAGAGCGAGACAGGGACCGACAGAGCACAGAAGCTGTGGTTTGCTTTGATCTTGAGAATGTAATATCCTGTCCCAGAGCAAACATCTCTAGTTTTTTCTACAGACGTAAAATCAGTGTTTATAATCTGATTGCAATTTGGGAAATGATTTATGATGAGCATTGCCCAAAACGTCTTGTGCTCTGGTCGGCTTCTTGTGTTGCACAGAACTATAATTCTGCTATGGTTTTTTGCTTTGAAGGACTTTATGCTTCGCCATTCTGTTGAGTCAATAGAACATAAATATTATGAACCTGGTCATTCTCCTATTCAGGAAGTCTATAGTATCCACAGTCGCCTTGAGAAGCAGATGAAATCTTAGTCCATTAGGAGTCATTAAAGCCACGAAAAGAGCTTGGAGTAAAGCACCAATGTACACCATTCAAATGAGGAAAAACCAGTTTAAGAAATACATGGAATCAGCTAAACTCATGAATCTGAAACAAGTGCTCTTCACCAAAGTGAAGTCAATAATGCTCAGCAAGGATGACATCTACAGCCTGGAATTCAGGACTACATTCACAGAACCATGGAGTACAGTCAGCATCTGTCCAAGAAACAATGCTGTTCGTTTATCTGTGCAGAGTCCTTTAGCCATTGAGTGTCCGAAAACTAAAGATGTCACAAAGAAACCAGAACTCACAAAAGAAAAGATTGCTGATGTAAAAGAAATGTTGAAGTTCATGTCTCCAGCTGACAAGAGGTTCATGGCTGGACTCCTATCTTAAACTTTGATTGTGTACCAGTTTCTGCTCGTGAGATCCCAATGGAGTGTGCATTTAAAGCATAATGTTCCAGGTTGAGTTAGGTTGATGTTAAAGTTAAAACAACAGGATGGTATGTACATTATTTCAGTCATGTTTATATTATGATTATAAACAAGAAACTATTCAAATAATGCACTGCAGTGCACGTGTGGTGTGCATTAAACTGTTAATGCTTAATGTTTTGCAGAGAGGGTACTTTCTTGGAGTTGGATATAAAAGCAGTATCTATTGTTACAGGTGGTGCTCCTGTTCAGAAACTAATACTGAGGAAGTCACTGTATTTTTAAAAGTTTGCGGTTTATATGTGATTTTGATGTGAAATCTTCTCAGTTCCAAAGCGTTATACTGTTTGTGATTTTGGTTTGTTTTTGTTACAAAAATATGTATCTAATAAACATATTTGTTTCTAATCTCAGAGAGTCCTTTCATTAAGTAATTATTTTTGACGATCACTTACGAAATAAAAAGTAAAACCCAACCATACAATAAAATGGCGCTTAGAACAAGGTGGAACTACACTGTTTTGAAAACCTTTAATAAATTTGTTCTAATTCCAAACAAAAAGAGTGATTTTTAAGAAAATGTATATTATGATTTCTTAACAAACCGAAATAATATATGGCTTCCCCAATCATGTGTGTATATCCATGCCAAATATTATGTGAATACATAGACAATCATAAAAGATACTAAGGTTAAACGTTCAAATGCTTGTTCCTCTAGATCTAACATATGCATGCCAATTTCAGAACTTTACAGTCATATTCTCAATACTTATCATTGACTCCTGTTTTGTAGGACTTAAGTCCTGCCCCACAACGAAGCACACGTGTGGTCTCACCTTAGGCAAGTGTTCACTCAGAAAATGGGTACCCGATGAGATATGCCTATTAACTTTCTACCGCCTCACAGTCAGCTTGGGTTATCCGGAGTTATAATGTCTATCAAGTTGTATGATCATGTCTCTGCGGCGTAGAGTTCAGCGCAATGTAAGTGGCTTTATTATTATTATTATTATTATTACACATGACTTAATATGACTTACGTTTGGTGTGAGCTCTGACACAACATACGGGGCTACTATTCCTGGCAAGGAGCTGATGGCGTTTCCTATACCGGACAATGTGCCGGCGTACTGCAACGCGATGTCACCGTAGTTGATGACGTAGGAGCTAAAGCCGAAGCCCATGAAGCCGAGTGTCAGACACATGAACGATACAGCAAATGCGACTTGACCCTGCTTTGCCTGAGCCAGGACCACCATAAAGATCCCGGGAAACAGTGTACCTGCATATTGAGTATAGAAGTGAGAAAGTTAGCTGAATTTAACGTCACGGCGAATAGTATCCTTTTTAAAGTAGGAAGCTGGTAAAGCACATAAGACAATATAACAGAAACGCCATCCTCAGGACAACCGAACGACATTTTGGACTTGATCCCTTTCTACAAAGTTACAACTATTTGAAGAGTTTCAAAGTCAACCCAAGTTTCAAAGGGGCAGGCGATATTTAAATTCACTCTGTACCTACCGAAAACAGTTACAATTTTCCTGGACACTCCAACACTGAAGATCTTCCTGGAGATAGAGAAGTCACATATGTGCCCACCAGCAAACACTGTTACGCCCATACAGATTATTGGAAGCATTGAATATACACCGTTCTGGAAAGCAAAACGAATAAATGAAATGCGTGCATGCATGCATGCATGCATGCATGCATGTATGTATGCATGCATGCATGCATGCATCAATGTATGTGTGTAAGTATGTATGTTTCCAGGTACCAAGACGGATATCATTTACTGTACACAACAGCTACAAAAATTGGTTTTCTGTAGTTCAAATATGAATAAAGAATTTGAAATCCATCTCCTGCAGTATACGGTAACACACAGGAAGGTTAGAACGGCATGTCGGTTCCAACATGGCTCATTGCAGGGGCAAAGAACAGAACTGATACATCGAAACTCACAGCTTTGATGTCGAGCTTTAAGATCTCATTGAAGTAAGTGGGCGCTTTAGTTAGCAGCATGTAGAGGACGAAGTTGGCGAGGAAATGAGTAGCGATGACGGCAAAGACGGGTCTGGAAGTGAACATCTCTCTCCACGGTGTTGTTCGAACCTTGAATAAAAATAGCTCATGGTCCCCGTCACTGCTATATGGACCAAAATCGCAAAAAGCATGACTTCTGTTACAGCTATAAGCACTTCCGATCTAATAGCCGCAGGGACGGTTGAACAAACAAAAGCCTTTCATAGTAATTCCTAACGAACGTTCCTACATTAATCAGAAAGTTTATTCCGTCACTGAATGATGTGTTTATATTGCTCTACCATATTCTATCTAATGCACAACCTGTTGAGTATGCCTTCTTAATAACAAAGTTACGAGCCAGTTCAGTTTAATGAACTCTAAGCCGGTTTCAGCCAAACAGAGCGTTTCCACACTAAACAAACAATACTTTTATAATCAAATGTCTTGTCACATTACCTTTAGAATCACATTACCTTTAGACAGACCCATGACCCATGATTTAATGAGATTGTTGTCAATGATTAACTTGTTCATTTACCTTAACAGCTTAAGTAATGCCTCAGATTTATGTATGCTTCAGTTTAGAACTCACTCTTTTCATGGAAACCCTGTGTCTGAGACTTGCTTCAATGTATTCTACTTCCTCTGCTGATATACCCGGGGTTTGAGATGGATAGTTCCGAGCAAAGAAAATCCATAGCATGCTCCATATTGCCGATACACCACCTAGTGTACAAAATAGTACCACAATACTCTTATAAAGTAACATTTTGTTACAGATAGATGTACTGACCTGGAGAATTTGTGCAACGATTCTGTCATAAATCAAAATAAAAGCAGGCTGGCATTTGTCATGGTGCTTTGAGAAAAAAACATAATATACACAGCAGGTATATCTATTAGGATAACAATGTTGAAAGCAAATAGTGATAGACACTTGAGATCTTCATTCAAGGCAAATGTAGATAATGCTAAAGTTAACAACCGACGGACACCTCACATGGCATTGAGCTTACTTAGAGACGACTAACAAGATCGGGTGGTCAGGCTCGCTGACTTGGTTGACACATGTCATCGTATCCCAGGTGCGTAGATCAATACTTATGATGTCAGTCACTGGAATTTCTGGTCAAGCCTCGATTATTTACAGACCGCTATATAGCTGGAATATTGCTGAGTGCGGCGTTAAACAACAAACAAACAATGTGAGCCAAAGGAAAACAGTATTTATCGTCGGTAATTCTTGGGAAGTCTATTGTCAAACGAAAACACAAGTTAAAATAACCTGATGTATCGACGATACATAAAAGTTGGTACTTTAAAACGTACTACACGTTGATGTAAAGTCAGTGTCGCATATACGGTTTCATATTTGTGGTATTTGTTGCATAATGCCATTACTATCGTTCACTCATATCATGAAGTAACGTCCAACATGGAAACTAACCAGTTATATAGAATACAAATGGCCATCCAAGGCTGACGTCATCGTCGCAAAGAATTCCACCAAGTGGAAACACGATGGCATTGCCTATGGTACACCCTGTAACAAAGACAACATGATATAGGTACATATCCAAGACACTGGGTATATTTGCAATACATCTATAATGACAATGATACAAATCTGTGCACGGTTTATTGTGTCAGGCCCTATGAGAAATTTGACAGAGAGGATGAAAAACTGAACATGGTTGCAATGCATACACAATAATTGTGAATTTCAGTGATGGCCGCAGTTATCTGACCTTTATCTATCACCTTGATCTTTTAGGGAAAACATCATTCCAAAAGTGGCAGTTTGATAGTTTGTTGTCCTGATTTTGCAATATGGTTAGATAAAGTTTCATTGAGGTACATATTGCTGCGGAATCACGCCAAGGTCCTTCAAAGTTCATTTCTAATCATAATAGCAATCTACACATGTATTGAAGATGATTTTATGTAAAATATATCTCGGTCATGACAGTTTATTTACAAATCAGATAAGGATATTCGTGCACTAAAAATATTTTCATGGTAATCAATTTATCATTGAACTCGCCTAGTAGACTTATAGTTAAAAGTCGGCTGTATTCGTTCGGCGGTGCCCACTTGGACCAGAAAGTTGCCAAACTGGGGTATATCACTGTCTGAAATAATCCATTGTCAAACATGATCAGTTTATGGTTCAAATTCTACATTTGATTGATCAATTTTGAATTATATAAAAGTATTGACAAAGATATTCAACGTACCAGCAATGCTCCAAATATCAGCCTGGTGACCAGGAAGAGATAGTGATTTGTTCTTGCCGCTAATGGGGAGAGAAGCGTGACGACGGATGCACCTCCAACTCCCAGACCAACAACCATCCTTGCACCGTACCTCTGGCTCAGCCATCCGGCGGGTATCTGGCCTGCCATGTAACCCCAGAACATAGCACCAAGAAGCAGACCTTGAAGCTGTTTGGACCACCGGAACTCACCGCCCTATGAAAATGCTTAAGGTGATAATGGTCTTCTGTAACACACAGCAGATGAACTTAACAACAGACTGTGATTGATAACAAGTGGCACATAATTGGGTAAGGTCAGGTGAAGAGTAAGAACAACAGATACCACGGGCCATGAATCCAATAAACGCGAGAGATTAAGTAGTAAAAACAATCAAAGTGAGTAGCTTCATAGCTATTGTATTTAGTACACTTGTCCACAAATCGAATACGTTTAACAGTTTTGATTATATCCTGTTTGTGGCCTTTAGGTGATAATGGTCTTCCCGTCGCGTATGAACACACCATGCATACACATTCATTCTTATTCTTTCATTTAATGCTTATCGTTGGCTCATGGTAGATCAGCTACTCGCCAAGGCATTGTCTGCAAAACCCAGTAATGAAGCATACGACTTTATGGATAACAACTTCTTGTTTATTGTACAGAGCGACGTTTTGGTGTAGATTCTTCCACCGTAACTAAGCCAACAGTGACTTCAAATAAGTGATGAGAAGTATATATTAGGGCTGTGCAATATGACCGGTAAAGTATCTCGCGATACGATTATCGCGATATGGTTCAGATTCTGCAATATATTGGATCATCCAGAGTTTTCTCCTTTTGAATTATCTGCCCTTGATTTCCATAGCAACAAAATGAGCACTAAAAGTGCCAGATATACTTTTGTTTCTTTTCTGTACCATGTAGCATTTTACAAATGGAAGTGTCTTTATAAGTGGCTGCAAAAGTGCCAAATATTCTATAAAATGCTTTACGTTTTGGGGTTTGATTGGTTTCATTTGTGACGTTTTGGAGGAATTGAGTTGCCTCAAATGGACCAATCTTTTACGAAAAGCAAGATTTATGGATGTCAACTTATTGTTGTGAATAACACAACGTTTCGAGTGTATGCTTGCTCCTTCATCAGGTCATGAATATTCACAATAAAAAAGTTGACATCCATAAATCTTGCTTTTCTTATGCATTCCACTTCTAAATGCCCTTCAAAAAGATGACCAATCTTTTATTTGGACTTATAAGTAGAGCTACTGGCTCTGAGTGACCATTTCACAATTCATATTTTTTTGTTATTATTGTTTTGTTTCATAATGGGATATATATTATAAACTTATGATAAAGGCCAAAGTCTTATAAATTTTGTAGGACTGTATAATGACATTCTAGTGAAAGATCTTAGTTACTGGAGGTCACATGAGATTTAAGCTCAAGTAGTTCACCTAAATCATGTTTTTGTTTCATTTTACAACAGTTCATGTTAACACATGTTTATATCGGAGTTGAATCTGAATGAATCACTGACAAACAGTAACAATAATTACTTACTGCATTGAAGTGCATTCTGTTGACGCATGACCATGAAAATCATGTTATAGTATTACCTTTATCATTATGTTCGAAAAACTTTGTTGCAATACAGTTACTTCAATGAAACCTTCCACATTAAGGCTCTATATCGTTTATCTGTACACAACTGGCATACAGCCATACACAATGGGGACAGGAAGCCAAAACATATGGTGTAACAGCAACTAAGAAGATGATGTCGCACACAGAGAGCTATTATGAATTTATGATGTACACACTTGCACAGAAACCTTCCAGTCAATATATCACAATATATATTGCAATAACTTTTGAATTATTGCAATATACCGCAATATGAGAATCAGGGTCATATCCAGCCCTAGTACATATGCATGGTATGTTATGGCAAACAGCAGATTAACTTAACAACAATCTGTGATCGATAACACGTGGCACATAATTGAATGAGGTCAGGTGAAGAGTAAGACAACAGAATTAATACCACGGGCCATGAATCCAATAAACATGAGGTTTTAAATAGTAAAAACCAGCTGATTAGGTACAAAGCTTGATTAACTCTTCGAGGGTCGATGGTATGTAGTACACTTGTCCACAAATGCAATACATTTAACAGTTTTTGATTATATCCTGTTTGAATTGTAGCATAATGTTTAACTACTGGTAGTACTCATTGCTGTAGGTTTTAGGTATGACTCAGGCATATCTAAGAGAGACACCATCAATCTTCTGTTATTACTTAAGGTACACGCACTATAACTTGGAACTATTTTGTTCCACAATTTGACTTGGTTCAATATTCTATTCTTTCTCATCGTGGGCGGTAACGTGTGTCACTGAAATTTATTGGACTTACACCGCTATCATATTTTATCATATTAGACTGAAATACGTGGAATGATACCTCTTTCACCATGGTATCGTTTCTTGAGGTGTCGTTGGAAAATAATGCCTCACTGTTGATCTCACTGTACTGCGGGTCGTGCTTCACCATGCACACTATGGCGATGCTGAGGTTGTACATGAGGATACCTTGTACAACAAAGGCCAGGCAGTACAGGATGGCCATCTGGTATCGCTTTGTGCGCCATATCGGAACTGAAAAATGAAAAATGACGATCCAATTATTTGTTCAACAACGCTATGTTCTAGTGAATAGCGTAACTTAATTGTCAGAATTGTATCCTTGTGTCTCCTTGTGAGTCCCACCATTAGCCAGTATCATATCCATAATCTTTTATAGAAAAGAGGAAAAAAGCGTTTATAGAAAAGAGGAACAAAACTGTTTACGTGTATCTTGAATGCCGAGGGTTGACTGAGGCCACATTTTATGCAGTTTGGTTTGCAACAACGCTCACAAACAAATTCTTTGTTCGGCTATTGACATGCCTGCATTGCATACAACTTGTAACTGGCTCAAAGATCAGTTATAACTTTATTGTTGTTCATCCGACCGTGAAGTGCATTTACCGCATAACCCCGAGTATGTCATGGTGACATTGGAAGTGTTTTGAAAATTGAGGTTAATATAGCTTACTGTTTGGTTTCTGGATTTCTTCCTCCATTGTCGTCATTGCTCGTCAAAATCTTCTCTCGTTAATACAATTATCCCGTACTGCAAAAACGCGGTTTAATCTGAAATATATCAAGAGGCAGAGAACGAATACTTGACAATTGTTGCATACACACGTGTTGCTAATGGCGAGTTGTTGATATACGCCACTACTGAATTGTGAGCGCCGAAGTATGATACATGAAATCATTATTGCTTGACAAATTAAATCTCCTTGTTTTAATAACACATGTTGACAAAGTTTCAATTACTTGTATGTTATTTCCATTCCTGTTTTTTATTGATCTCTCGCCACTTCCACTGTATATGTTCGCAATTTCAAAACTTTTCTTGTAATTTCAAGATTATTTAAAAACTCCTTACTTCGATCATAGCTTCGCAGTTCTATTTAATGATTTTCTTCTCGTTGCGTGGATTATGCTATTGTTATTTCCAGTTTCTTAACAAAAACGAAATATGTAAATAAATAACGACAACATAACCACTGATAATAATGCACACAGAAAAAGAAATTTCGATCATTTGAAGAAAGCTTAAAATGACGACAAAATAATTAAAGAGAAAATGTCGAAATTCCGCAAGAATATAGAAAAAAATGCAAAAACGAGAAAGCTCGGATTATTTAAAAAATGCTTCCAATGTGACATCATATGGCTTATGTACAGTTCATATTCAGGAGGCGTGCAATCAGTGTGGGTCCCTTAAGTGTATCTGGTTATATGCTTGTTAAACGGGGTCTGTATTAGGAGATAAACGTGCTGTGTTTGGAAATTAGATGAATAATTGACCGAAATGATAGTCTCTAAATTTCAAATTATTAATTGCTTTATAATGACGTATCTGGTGAAGGTGTGACGCCAGTTATGTAGGAAGTGTTTCAAACTAACTGCATATCTCATGATGTGTAAAACACTCTAAACGGAAACAAATATACCGTTTACGATGTAAGCTAATCTTACTATCGTTTTGCTGTAAAATGTGTATGAACAGGGGTGTATTTTTACAAGGCTTTCTGGTTGTTTATGTTTGGGGCTGTACATTGTAATTGAGTTTGAATATTTTTATTTTAGAAGGTAATATGATAGTGAGGTTCCCTGCTAATTGCGGAGGAAAAAATCATATAATTGTATTTTTCGAGTTTTAATTAATGTTTTATTAACATTTCCATCAAGCCTGTTGTGTTTGATATTAGCCATATTGGTGGTCAAGCTGAAGTAGTGCGGCAGGGTTGTATACGTGCGCAGTGAAGCAGTCATGAAATCAGATGCAATTTCGTCCTCCTGAGAGGTTACGTAAGTCCCGAAACATTCAAAGGCAATTTGAATTTACCAGATTTTTAAAAGTAGGATTTTTGTCATGTTATGTTTGGCTACATTTCACCAAAATCGCCAGCTGCTGAAGGGTTGATATAAATCCAGCTAGCGTCCATGCAGGTAGCCAAAGTACTGTAAGTCCCCATGGTCCCTAGTCTTCAGTTGCTGGTGATCTATAGTCCGCTAAATATTGTATCGTTGTCTAAAGTGACATCTCTTTTTTAATAATAGCGTACTAGTTTTAAATTAAAAGCTGTGATACTCTAGTAGTTGTACTGTCCTTCGATGACAGGTTTTTTTATGTTCTAAATTTATTGATTTTAATGATGATATCAATTCAATTGTTCTCGTCACGATATGGCTGAAATATTGCCGATGTGACGTTAAATATTAATTCACACACTCACTCAGACGCAATTTCAAACCAAACGTATAGTGTCTAATTTCATTGATTTCCAACCAAATTCGGGTATTTCACGTGGTCATGGTAGAATGACAAATAGATCAAATGATTAGTGACCTAAAACACCCCAAGGAGATGTCCCAGTGACCGGACCGGACCTGTGTTGGCCACAGCCACACCGTTAGCACAAGTTCTTGATTAGCTTTCGGTTACTGGACTCAAACGCATGACCCATTGCACTAGGACTAAGGCGACTACTAGCCGGTAGGAGAACAGTAGCGAATTTAGACACATTGATTGGTTACGATAGCTTGGGACTAATAGGGAACCCCTTCTCATGAACTGATCAGACTCCTTTCTGTCGTCAGGCCCACAAGTATGTACTTCACCATACGACAATGTATCGCCAATGTGTCCAGTATAAATATATCCGGGTAAACATTCATCTTGAATATATATGAAGCCTCGTGTGAGATGCCGGTGTCACGGGATAAATTCGCCCTCTGTACAAATTCAGCCCTGTTATTGTTTTGTCCACGTTGCAACACCCAAGACCCACAGCCCACGTTTGTTCGTGCAGACAAAACACTGCTGATATTTTTCATGTGTTCTCCGCCGAGATTGTTGTCTTCAAACAATATGATGATATGACATAAAAACACCGTGTATCCACTACGACCAAGCATAACGCTTTATCAGTGATCGTGTGATAAATCGGAATGAAATACATGTACCTTGAAACGTTATCAGGAATACTAACAAATGTGTTTCCATATGCTCGGCATCCGTTGCCAAATCCTATGTATGAGATTTGAAGATCTACTCACGTCTTCTGCTTGTGTAGGGTCAGCAAAACTTGGCTCAGATGAAGACATAAATTGACTACTTGCATACACGAAGACTGAGCTCATATGTTTAAGTCTCGTCTTATACCTGTGTCAAGTATCAGTTTCAATACACCTGTCCTACATTCCCTTTATGCTGTACGCTGTTACCTCAAGCTCGTGTGTTACTGCCTCGCCTTGTGATTGTGACATGAACCCAAGCATGCGGGCAAAACACCAACGCAGCTTGAATAAATAACGTAAGGTGACGCATGTGTGTTTCGTCTGAACTACTTTGCCTTCAAATGTTTAGTATTGCGGAACAATATTTTGTTGCAGGTATAATAATGTTTGTCCACGCCTTTCATAGAAAAGACTAAACATATGTGGCCTTGAACAGGCATCCACAAATAGCAGCGTTTTCCTAATGTTCAGTTACTCGATTCTATTCAGTCTCCGATTAACAGAATATAGTGCATGCAACGATAATACGTAGCTGCAAAGGTTCAACAATTTAACCAACCAGTGTCCGAAATGCTGGTTTACTTTCAGATATGGCGTGTGCATGTGAACGAAATTCTGCCGTATAATGACTTATAAAATTGAACTTATCAGTTGCGGAATAAACGAGTGACAAAATCACTTACGTGTATGTCTTCTTAATTTATGTCTCCAATCCTATGTATGAGGTATGGTCCATTTATTGCACCGAGGAAGATACTGCAGTTTAATATCTTTACGGCAATAATACACTAGTGTAATACCGCTAGACGTATAATGTCATAATGGTTTACAGTTATGACGTCACAATGCTCATACCTTTGTCACAATGGTATTAGACCTTGCTTGACTCCCGAAAAGGTGAGAGTCATCACACTGTAGGCAGTTTCCACCAATTTATGTTGGAGAGTAATAAACAGAATACTAAACTCGCTTCCATGAAATACCATTCTTATTAAACTCGTGAAAATCATTAACTCGTGTATTAAAAATGGTATTACACGGAAGGTCCTTTAGTATCCTCTATATATGTGATGATGTCTTTGACCTATCCCCACTCTTGATATGTGTGATAATAAACCTTCATTCTTCTCCGACTTCGATTATTTTCAGTTTTGTCGAATAAATGAATGAAAAATAACCCAAACACGTTCAAGTAGGGTTAGTATGTCTACATAAAGCGATATTATGAAAAAACTGAATACAATCTTCGATATTTAAGAATAATATACACGACCAGCAAGTCTGCATGCACGGACGTCAATTTATTCCTTTCTTGATACAAAACCAATATGTGACCGTGTGTTCGCTTCTGCATGAGGTGAATGACACACGCAGCTGATGTAGAAGTATACATACAAATGACAAAGAGTAACAACGACAATTTGGAACAACGGACAAAGGCAATAAGACAATTCTGAATGACAACAGCAGTGAAAATTGCGACTGGTAATTGGATGCTCATTCTTATGGAGGAAGATACGTATTTTATAATTGGAAGCATACATTCTCTCACTTCTCTCATTCTCTGTAAAGCACAAAAACTTATAAAACGTGTAACATTTACAATAAATCCTATTCGTCTATACTACAAAGACACTGAAAAACACATGCTATATCTATATCAAATAGTTTTGTAGATTCGATACTAACGAGAAATTAATATTTGCCATTACACTTCATATGATCGCTTATCAAAACGGAAAGGAAACATTGCAAAAAATGTATTTTTCTAAAGGCTGAGGCGATCTGAGAGGCAGATGATTTCCATCACATGCCAAAGAGGCGTTTATCTGGTAAACATATGTCAAGATCACTGGTACTTCTGCTAATGGTGCCAGGAAGCAGCAATCCTTGCACGTTTCACTCTGATTATGGTCCTGGTCCAATAACTCCGTATTGGTTTGAGGGTTGCAAGAAACAAGTGCTGCATCAGTTCTCGAGGTCTGTTAGATCGGCACCCACGAAATCCAGGAATCATACCCTTTTGTACGAGAATCAGTCACTGGTACTCTTAAAAAATATTAGGTCATCAGTTCATCACAATGAGAGTGCTGGTAGTTTCGATATCATGTCCGACGCCTCGTGTGCTTCAGATTAACGTCAGCTTCGTTTAGGTGTGTTAAAGTACTTATTAATATACACTTAAAGATAAAATTAATGAACATGTAATCCCTCCAAAGTGAACTTGTGATTCAAAGATGTTTAGTTTTGTGTTGGTCTTTCATTCATATTTCTTTCATATACGTGAATTGTCTAAGTCTTTTGGATGCTTTACCATCGAAACTGATATATTTTGATTTGGTTTTTCGATGAATATTACTTCCTGTGTTGATTGTGGTTTTGCCCATGGCTGCAGCTCACCGGAACCAAACAGGATAAAAACAAGGGCCGAAAGTCCTGCTATTGCAGCAGTGACGTAGAAAGCCAGTTGCCATTCCTGTCGGGTACCCTGAAAAGGAAACATCCCATGGTACTATTGAACATGTAAGCAAGTGAAAACCGGAATGCTCAGATGAGTTTTATTGTTTTCAGTATGGGTCTGTGTTGATGTTTCCACTATTCAGAAACATAATCTACATCTCATATGTGTAAAATCGGAATACTCAGATGGTAAATATGGATTTGGAACATGTTGAAAGAATTTGAGTAATAAAAATATGCATACACCTCTGTGACGTCTACGTGTCGTCAAAGAAAAGTGTTAGGCGTATGCATGATTGGGAGATTACACGCTGAAACAGAATTCATCAAAGTCTTTGATTGTGCCTTATACGTCACAATCTGAAAGAAGGAATTAGTAATACCCCGCCATATAACAGGAACATTGATAAGTGCGACGTTAAACAGCAAAAAATGAGAGAGAAAAGGACACTGCCGATTCGGGTTCCACGCATCATTAAATCTTCCCCACTGAATATATCTCAATTTTGATGATATGAGGACATAGAGTATTTATCACAAAAACACTTCAAAACTGGAACGTTCGAGTAATTGACCAAACAATTATTCACCAAATTTCTAGTGAACGCATTTCTTGAGGTAAACGCAAAATGTATCATGTCGACATTGGTATTGTGTTTGACAGACGACCTGATGACGAAACAACACTGGCAATATCTTTTCATTCCAGGCATCAGTGTGCCGATGACCTCGTTCGACTCCTTTTGTCATGCTCTGTAAGGGGCAAATACATGCGCAATGGACCAGAAATCATGATTTAGGGCTAATCATTCAACAAGACCAACACCTCGTTGTCCTTTTTTCTTGTCACAACATTGGATCTGTACGGAATGGAGTTAATTAACTTTCCTGGCTTCATTTCGAGATGAAATACAAAAACAGTTATTCATTCTGAACAACTCTTACTCGATGGAACCGCCCCCTTCACGATACACTGATCTGCGGCCGTCATTAAAACATAACCCATGTGATAGCACTAGAAGGATGTCAATGTTTGACAATGATCATTTTGGATAATATGCAGACACAAATTCATTATAGTAATCAATCACCATGCAACCAAGATCTGTAGACGACATAAGCTTTAACAAGAGCTTAGTTGTGTCAGCGTGTTTTCAGTATGTGTTCTGTGTTGAAGTGTCCACTATTCCCACAATCTACATTAAAGCTATACTTCCACTAGAAAGAGAGCAGGAGGTAACAAACCAAGGGCTTATTATTATGTTTTACAGATTAAAGATAGTATGCAGCAGAGAGGGTTCGGGTGATCCTGGCTGAGTCAGGCTGGTAAGGCTCATCATCAGCTCAGGGTCCTTGCCCCTCTACACCCAGCCCAGACAGCGAATGGGACTTCTCCCAGGAAACACTGCTTAGTCAAACCCACCAAGAACGTTTCGGAGAATATGAAGGCTCCCAAACACTGCAGCCGTCTGCATTACCCAGAGTGTCAGAAGGGCTGTGCTCCCGGTGGAGAACCCGGGCACTCTCCTGATCTGCGCCAAGAGTTCAGGAGGTACCAAACCAAGGGCACCGAGAACAATGGGGAGCCTGACGACAGTGTTCTTGGGATGCAAGCGAGACATTCAAAGGCGAGGTCCGCATATTTATCATGCTTTTCCTGAATCTTGCCAATCACACTGGTGTCAAAAGGGACAGAAATTTCAATGATATAAATAAATTCATTAGCTTTATCAAAAAGGACAAGATCAGGTTTGTTGGCAGGAATTCTTCTGAGGCTGTATATGGGCCTATTCCACAGAGGTTTGAAAGCATCATTTTCCATGACGCCCTGGACATGTTCAGGGTCGTACCATGGATGGACCTCGGAGTCAAAGCCACAGACATATCGGAGACGGTAGTAAAAGCAACGAGCCATGCCATCATGTCGTTTAAGATATGCTGTTTGTGCCAAAGAAGGGCATCCACCGACAAGATGTTGGAAGTCTCTGTAAAGTCATTACATAATCGACATTTCATATTGATATTTTCTTTAAGAATCACATTTAGGCGATTACGAGTGGGAAGTGACTGGTCCTGAGCAGCAAAAAGGAAGCCCTCGGTTTCACATTTAAGCCCAGCCGACTTCATCCAGGCGAAGGAGTCGATGGCATTGCTATTCTGTTCCACACACTGCATGTACACACGATGCAATGGCTCCTCAGAAAGCCTCACCACAATAGACCGACTCTGGGCAGACTTGGTGAAGGACTTCACCTGGTTTACTCCCATTGCTGTACCGTCCAGCAGTACATCACCATCAGCAAAATCAACCTCAAATTTCAGATTCTGTCCAACAACCTTGGCACGCTTAAAATATTTGTGGAATGCTTTGCTTTCATCATGAGTCTTCACATGCATCACCAGAGGATCATCCGATATATAAATATGTGCAAAAGTACACAAAAGAATTTTATCATGAAGTCCACATTAATCAAACCCCGACCTCGAGAATTGATTGGCATGTATAAACGGTTGAGAGAGGGACGAGGGTGGTGGGCTCTGTTATCAGACATGATCCTTCTGGTCAGGCGGTTAAGACTCTGAATGTCTTGTTTTGTTCAATCAACTACTCCAAAGGAATAGGAGAGGACTGGCACAGCAAAAGTATTGGTGGCCTTGACCTTGTTTTGAGCATTTAGCTCTGAGCTCTAGATATACTTTAAGCGAGATTTGTACTCGGCCCGAAGTTTGTCTTGAATTTGGGCATTCTGGAGCTTGTCTCGAACTTGCATTCCAAGATAGGTGTAGGCCTGATCTTCCCAGGATGCTCAATAACTCCCCACCCCCACCCCTGTAACGTGGCCGATCCACCATTAACTACCTTGCCACGTTTTACATGAAGAGTATTACATTTGTCGAGTCCAAATGTCATGCCAACATCATTAGAAAAGGACTCGACAAGGAGAACCTGTTCTTTCAAATTGGTATCTCCTTTGGCAAGGAGCTCGATGTCATCGATGTAAAGAAGATGAGTAAGTGGTGTTGGGGATCTGTGCTGAGGTGGTCGAGGATGGTATCCCTCCTCTCTGTTGAGCAGTAAGATCAAACAAAAAAGCAAAGGACTGAAGGAGTCCCCCTGGAAAATTCCCCTTCTGATTGGAATAGATTCCGAAGTCTGCACCTGCCCTTGCGAGTACATCTCAAGTTGAGTCGACCAGCAACTCATTAAAGACTTGAGTAAATCAAGTAGTCGCTCAGGGAGGTCAATACAACGAAGAGACTTCAGAATCCATTCATGAGGGACAGTGTCATATGCTTGTTTGTAGTCAATCCAGCACATGGAGAGGTTGCAGTGATATGTTATAGCCTCTTCCAAAGTCATTTTCTGTACAAGAAGTTGATCCTTGCACCCCCAACATCCCTTTCTCGCTCCCTTCTGCTCTCTATAAATTATATCATTAGCAGAGCAGTATGATGACACGAGGTTTGTCAAACACCCTGTGAATAATTTGCATTGTGTATTTAAACATGTGATAGGGCGGAAGTTTTTGGGATCAGTCAAGTTTCCTTTCTTGGGAAGGAGTATTGTGCGACCTTTGCAAGTCCACGGAGGAACATGCCCTGTGTCCACGAGAGTATTGAAGCAGTGAAGTAATGGTGTTTGGACACAGGGGAACAGTTTCCAGTACCTGTTTCGAATGCCATCAGGCCCTGGAGCTGTATTAGTTTTGGACTTTTTGATAACACTTCTCAGGCAGTCTGGTGAGATGTAGTAGACAAACGACCTAGTTACTTTCTCATGCATTGCATGGTCATGATCACGGACCCATGGAGCCTCAAGTTTACAGTCGCCGGGTACAGACCACAACTGTTTCCAGAACCTTTCATTGGCATCCATGGGAGGCCGCTTATCATGCTCACCATCACCGTTTATTTTAAGTTGCCTGTAGAAGTGTTTTTCATTATTTCTAAAAAGTTTATTCTGTTTGATGAATTTATTTTTCTTTTCCCATTTTCTCTTTCTTTCAGTCCAAACCTTTATTTTGGCCTTAAGGGAATCGACAATTTGGAGAAGTATTTTTCCTTTTGTTGTCTTATACTGACATTTTAATTTTCTCCAAATTGACTTTCGTCGTTTAGACATGGGACTCCCTTTTGATCTTAACTTCAGGCAAAGCTCTATCCAGGAAATGAATTTTCTAGATTCTGTTAATTTTACTTGAACCGATTTTTCTTTGGTGTATTGTTCATAGGACTGGATGTGTTTTCTTTGGAAACTGTGTGAAGTTTCTCCAAGGTTCGAGCGGCAGCATAGACACAACAATTCACTTCATGTAACGAACAGTCCGCAGAAAGTTTCATAGAAATAATATCATTTAATAAATTAATTTCATTTTGGGAAAAGATTCAGTTGTTTGTTTAATTGGCCTCCGTTCTTCTGAAGCTATGTCAGATATTTCATCATAAGTAGAATGAAACAAAATATACACAGGATTTTCGGAAAGATCTGTAACTGAGGAAGAGGAAGAGAAAGAGTGAGGTTCCGAAATTTCGGGGCCAATTGGCTCTACGCCGGAAGAGTTTCCACCAGGAAGAGGAGAGAGGTTAACGCGGACGTCCATCAGAAGTTTTTGGTCTGCTGCCACTTGAGCATTCTGCTCATGCAAACGGACACCAGTTGTGGGTTGAACTGGCTCACGGGGCATGAGATTTTTAAGCCGCCGGAATTGATCTCGGAGATTTTGCTCCGTCAGGAAAGCATACATGGGCATGGCATTGTCCCAATGCAGCTTGAGCGACTTGCCGTTTATGCGTGGATTATCAGGCCATCCTGTCGCTTTCGCACACTCTAGTAGTGTGGTTTTGAGATGGTTTGACCAAGATAATCTTGATCGGGTGCTGTGCCTTCCCCTTGGGGCAAGTCCCATCTCCAGTGTGGTTGGTTTGACTACTTATTATTATTATTATCGTTATTATTATTACACATGACTTAATGTGACTTACATTTGGGGTGAGCTCTGACACAACATACGGGGCTGCTACCCCTGGTAAGGAGCTGATGGCGTTGCCTATACCGGACAGCGTGCCGGCATACTGCAACGCGATGTCACCGTAGTTAATGACGTAGGAACTAAAGCCGAAGCCCATGAAGCCGAGTGTCAGACACATGAACGATACACCGAATACGACTTGGCCCTGCTCTGCCTGAGCCAAGATCACCATAAAGATCCCGGGAAATGCTGTACCTGGATGTAAAGTATGAAAATCAGAGCGTTAGCTGAACGTCACAGAGATTAGTACCGTTTTAAGTAAGAGGATGGTAAACATTGGATCGAAAATCCATTAATTCAACATGCATGTAATCAACGATATTGTAACAGCATATGGCCATGATTATGATTAAAATGTATAACAATACATATGAATGAAAACAAAATACATAATTTATGAAATCGATATGTTAGGGAAGAAGTTGAAAATGCACAAATAGACCACAATGCGTTGGGACAGAAATACAATGAAATATGCCAGTATCACTCTGTACCCACCTAGAACATTTACAATTTTCCTGGACACTCCAACACTGAAGATCTTCCTGGAGATAAAGAAGTCACATATGTGCCCACCAGCAAAAACGGTTACGCCCATACAGATTATTGGAAGCATTGAATATACACCGTTCTGGAAAGCAAAACGCATCAATAAAATGTCGAGTTAAAAGTCTCAAAGGAATGTGTGTGTGTGAGAGAGAGAGAGAGAGAGAGAGAGAGAGAGAGAGAGAGAGAGAGAGAGAGAGAGAGAGAGAGAGAGAGAGAGAGAGAGAGAGAGAGAGAGAGAGAGAGAGAGAGAGAGAGAGAGTCCGTGTGGATGGAAGCTTGAATGGATGGATGGATGCATGCATGTTGGACGGGAATGTGAGTTTGATCGCGGTTTGATCTGCCCAACTGACGCTATCGCCAAGTGACACACACACTACACTACAGTACAACGTGTTGCTAGTTCCTGAAAGTTATTTGCCCTCCTTGCAACATGTAACTTGGTACCTGATACAAAACAGCAACGAAAAATAGCATTATGTGGTTCAAAGATTTGACACATACCAATATGAAACAACACACAGGAAGCGAAGAACGGTATGTCGGTTTCAACAGAGCACATTGCAGGGGCAAAGAATGGAACTGTTACATTGCAACTCACAGCTTTGATGTCGAGCTTTAAGATCTCGTTGAAGTAAGTGGGCGCTTTAGTTAGCAGCATGTAGAGGACGAAGTTGGCGAGGAAATGGGTTGCGATGACGGCAAAGACGGGTCTGGAAGTGAACATCTTTCTCCATGGTGTTGTTCGAACCTAGAATCAACAATAGCATCTGGTTACAAACTGTAAGAATGTAGGTTTCTCGTGGTATATTAAATGTTAAATATTGATAACTTACATAGAGCAAAATAGAACATCTTAATACCCAACAGTATCCTTTCAATCTTCAAACCTTTGTGTGTATCCGTTACTGGAATGTGTTCACTGCCATTTGGACCAAAATCGCAAAAAGCATGACTTCAGTTACAGCTTTCAAGTCAAAGAGAACATTCGTTGCCTACGAATGTGTACTTTCAAATTTGCAGAAAATCGTTTCATATGCAGTGCAAGTTACAACAAAATGCCTAATGAATTTTGCTACCTTAATCAGAAAGTAGTAGCTATGGTTTGATTCCATCAATGTATGGCGTGTTTCTAAAGCTGTACCAAGTTCTATCTAATGCACAACATGATGAGTATGCCTTCTTTATAACAATGTTACATGCACATCCGGCTTAATGAACTTTAAGCCTGTTTCAGTCTCCACACTAAACAAACACTACTTTTACAGTCAAAAGCAGTGATATCATGGGTCACCTTATCTTTGGACAAGGCCATGACACAAGATGTATGAAATTGTTGATTAAATCTTCAAAGATTAAGCAATGCCTCAGACTTATGTATGTTTCAGTTTAGAACTCACTCTTTTCATGGACACCCGGTGTCTGAGACTTGCTTCAATGTATTCTACTTCCTCTGCCGATATACCCGGGGTTTGAGATGGGGTGTTTCGAGCAAAGAAAATCCACAGCATGCTCCATATTGCAGATACTCCACCTAGCGTACAAAATAGTACCACAATACTCTGACTTATAGAGTAACAATCGTATATCTCACGTTGGTGCAGATACATATCCAGAGAAAGATATTTGTGCAACGATTCTGTCATAAATACAGTACAGAAACATTACATACACAAAAACGGTATTTCAACATCGTTTAAGATAACGATTTTGAGAGCAAATAGTGATGCAATCGGATCAGAATTGTGTGAACAAAGTTTAAAAACACATCGATGACTTTCATACAAGGAAACTATAAATGCATTACTTGGCTGTCAGTCATGGGACAAGGGAAAACAGTAATTTATCGTCGGTTACTGTTGGGAGGTCTGTTGTTCAACCAAAACACGAGTAAACGTTTACCTGAATCATCGCCGATATATATACAAATTAGCAATTGCAGTCCCGTTTCAAACGCACCACGTGTGGATGTAAAGCCAATATGGCATGTTAGTATTAACATTAATTGTATTTGTTGCATAATGTTATTATTATTGTTCACTCATATCATGGAGTGACGTCCCACAAGGAAACTAACCAGTTATATAGAATACAAATGGCCATCCAAGGCTGACGTCATCGCCGCAAAGTATTCCACCAAGTGGAAACACGATGGCATTGCCTATGGTACACCCTGTAACATAGACAACATGATATTGGTACATATCCAAGACAATGGGTTTGTTTGCAATACATCTATATTGACATCGATAAAAATGTGTGCCCGGTTTATTGTGTCAGGCCCTATGAGAAATTTGACAGAGAGGATGAAAAACTGAACATGGTTGTTACGCATACATAATAATTGTGAAGTTCAGTTTGGGACGCAATTATATAACCTTTATCTATGACGTTGACTTTTTAGGGAAAACGTCATTCCAAAACTGGTAGTGGGATTTTGGTGGTTTGGTAGTTTGGTAGTTTGTTGTTCTGTTCTTGTAATATGGTTACTCAGAGTCTCTTTGAGATTCACATAGTTAAAGGAATGACGCCTAGGTCCTTCAGATTTCATTTCAACCAGATTTCTAATTTGTATAGCAATCTGTACATGTTTTAAAGATGATTTTATGTAAAATACGTTCCGGTCATAAAGTTTTTTTACAAATCAGCTTATGATATTCGTGCACACAAAATAGTTTCACGGTCATCAAATTTATCATTGAACTCGCCTAGAAGACTTATAGTTAAAAGTCGGCTGTATTCGCTCGGCGGTGCCCACTTGGACCAGAAAGTTGCCAAACTGGGGTAAATCACTGTCTGAAATAATCCATTGTCAAACATGATCAGTTTATGGTTCAAATTCTACATTTGATTGATCAATTTTGAATTATATTAAAGTATTGACAAAGATCTTCAACGTACCAGCAATGCTCCAAATAACAGCCTGGTGACCAGGAAGAGATAGTGATTTGTTCTTGCTGCTAATGGGGAGAGAAGGGTGACGACGGACGCACCTCCAACTCCCAGGCCAACAACCATCCGAGCACCGTACCTCTGGCTCAGCCATCCGGCGGGTATCTGGCCTGCCATGTAGCCCCAGAACATAGCACCAAGAAGCAGACCTTGAAGCTGTTTGGACCACCGGAACTCACCGCCCTATGAAAATGCTTAAGGTGATAATGGTCTTCTGTAACACACAGAAGATGAACTTAACAACAGCCCGTGATTGATAACAAGTGGCACATAATTGGGTGAGGTCAGGTGAAGAGTAAGAACAACAGATACCACGGGCCATGAATCCAATAAACGCGAGAGATTAAGTAGTAAAAACAATATGATTGGGTGCTAAGTGAGTATTTTGATAGCTATTGTATTGAGTACACATGTCCACAAATCGAATACGTTTCATAACAGTTTTGATTATATCCTGTTTGTGGCATAATGTTTAACTACTAGTAGTACTCATTGCTGTAGACTTTAATATGACATTGTCTTTAGTATGTATCCGAGAGACACCATCAATCTTCTGTTATTGCCTAATATATGCGCACTATAACTTATAACAATTTTGTTCCACAATTTTGACTTGGTTCAATATTCTCTTCTTTCAACACGGCATCGTGGGCGGTAACGTGTGTCACTGAATTTAATATCACTAACCCAGTTATCATATTTTATCATGCTCAACTGAGATACGTGGAATGATACCTCTTTCACCATGGTATCGTTTCTTGTGGTGTCATTGGACACTAACGCCTCAGTGTGGATCTCGTTGTACTGCGGCTCATGCTTCACCATGCACACTATGGCGATGCTGAGGTTGTACATGAGGATACCTTGTACAACAAAGGCAAGGCAGTACAGGATGGCCATCTGGTATCGCTTTGTGCGCCATATCGGAACTGAAAAGTGAAAAATCAATTTCCAAATTATTTGTACAACAACGCTATGTTCTAAATTAAATAAAAAATAGCGTAACTTAATAGTCAGGATATATGTGCAGAGTTCTGAAAACGACCTGAAACGCAGAATTGTATTCTAACGTTGCCGTGACTCCCAGGCCATGATACTCAAAATAAGAGATACACGTATACAGTTAAGTGTACATAGGATGGCTGGATGGTTTACATGGAAGATTGTACCATTTTATAATGGTATTGCAGAATATACATTGTTTTTATTAAGCATTAATTTGTTTACATTTAAACAATTCGTTAACTATTAGCCCATTGGTTTTTTTAACATGGTTTTGTATATGCGTTTTCCGATGATGTTTGAAGAAAGGACAGAGAAAAATGTAATGAAATTCATCGTCAGCATCAGACGTGTCGGAGAATTTACATAAATAAACGCTCATTAATAAATCCTTTGTTCAGCTGTGTGCAAGCCTCCATTACGCACAGTTAACGACCCAGTGACCAGTTATGCCTAATTACTGCTTATGGGACTGTGATATACCTACATCGCATTAAGCCCGAGTATGTCATGGTGACATCGGAAGTGTATTGAAAATTGAGGGTAATATAGCTTACCGTTTGGTTTCTGGATTTCTTCCTCCTTTGACGTCATTTCCCGTCAAAATCTTCTTTCGTTAATTCATTTATCCCGTACTGCAAATATTCTGTTTAATCTGAAATACATCATGTATATTAAACATTAATTTTGTACTGAATATGATCTTGGTCATGACTAATACTATTCAGATCTTTGCGAAGCCAAACTATTCGCAGACACTGAAAGTCAGTAAAATCACACACACACACACACACACACACACACACACACACACACACACACACACACACACGCACGCACGCACGCACACACACACACACACTCACACACACCATTGTTCATCATTAAAGCGACTGACATTTATAATCAACATATTTCGTTTTTTAAACTATGAACAATTATAGTAACTGTTGTAAGTGCAGTGGTAGGTATGTACAACAGACTGAGCAGGGCGAGGGAAGGGAAGTAACTCTCGTGTGAACTTGGAAAGTAAGAACGTGAATGTTACCAACAAGCTCAGAAAGAGCAACAGTAACATAACAATAAGAAACCCTTGAATATGAATTTATACTACAAATAGTCTCTTCTGTGTCTGCAAAAATACTGTTAACTTCTTATAGTATTCATATTCATAATGCCGATGTGACGTAAAACTTCATTTTAAAATTGAAATGTAATAATTGCAGACATTTGCAACTCATATCCACCATTCATCCATGCATCATTTTATACACCATGCACAGATACAAAAAGGACGTTTGTGATGTCTACTCCTTTTAAATTGTATAATCATTTTTAAACATATTGTATCATGATATGTTGGTCATCATTGACATAATTCCTCTGTGGCTGCCTATTTGTCAGCTCTGTCAGCTATATGCATCCTAAATATTTGTGGTGCTTACAAACATTGTAATATGTACAGGCTGACGAAATTCACTCGTTGCACACAAGACCCTCACAATCCCACCGAACGGAATTGCATACATCAAGCCTAACTGGCGATAATACGAGATTTGAACACATTTACAACGAAAATATGCTTCAAATTTGTAATTGTGAAAACGAACAAAATTTGGCAACACTTAAATTACCAATATGCAAAAGGTCTTCAAAACGACAACACACGACTTGAAATCAGCTGATCACACAGCCTTGCATGAATGGCCATTATCTGATTCACTGCGATATATGTAGTCATGGTAAACCCTGGTGTATCATGGAATCACGGAAAAATTGGATTATATTCTCTCTTCACTTTGATCATATGTCTTTGGAATTCCAAACATTTTCCCTTTTCTATCAAGATTATCGAAAAAACTTGGAATATCGTTTCGACTTTTTCTCGTTACTTCGACAATTGCCTTGCAATTTCAATTACACCGTTAAAGAATCGAAATCGTAGCGTCGATTATTTTCTCCTTCAAAAACCTTTAAAATAACCATTGTAATGAAAACATAAAAAAATGAATTTGAAAGAAATTTGAAATAAAGACCAAATGAATGAAGGAAAAAACCTCAGAATTACAAGTTGAATTTTTTTTATATCAGTGTGGCATAGGACGGCAAAGGTTACATTCAGAAGAAGAAATGGAAGAGTACAGAAAGTGGGTGTCCCTTAGTCCACACGTGCCTTCCAGATGCAGGAATAATGTCGAGCACGCGTGTGCCACGGTTGTAAAACGGGGTCGGTATTGACAAATAGATTAAATGATTAGTGAGCTAAAACTCTCAAGGAGAGTCCTGCTGACCGGGCTTGACCTGTGTTCCCCATACCAATAACAGAATGTCGGCCCGTCTCCGTTAGCGTTCGGTTACTGGGGTTACATGCATGAACCATTGCACCAGAGCTCAGACTACTACTCGTTGCTACTAGCCGGCATGGGAACAGTTGTGAATCTAGACACGTTTTCAATGCTACTTGAACACCCAAGTTAACACGATTGCAGCAGGATGGTACATTTTCGCAATTAATCAAAGGATGTTCAAATTTATGTTTCGAGATATTTATTTCCTCCTTCCACGATAAGTAAATGAATATGCTTTTTGTCAACGTACTTACCTTGGTTTTGCCTTGATTGGCTGTTTTCTTTTGTGAAAATATTATCACCTACGGTGGAACAGTCCCTGTCATTTCTTCATCAAAGTTAGAAACATTTGCAAAGACCAGAGACCATATATCGGCATATGGTCTCTGCATGGACAAACCTTTTCCTTATCAAATATCCGGATAGCGTTTGGTGACACTGAACAAAGAGCTTAGTATGCAAGCATATTCTGTATGATTCCAAAACTGCTGGAATTCAAAAGATACATCACAACGAAATATCGAAAAAGTATAGAAACATTGATCACTCACAACTGCAGATTCCATAATGCTTGCTTGATAACAACTAGCTTCAATTATCTGCCGAAACAGATTCAGTAGGGCGTAATTTAAGTGGAACTAGTCATGAACATATTTTGAATGGTACACTTCAAATAACAGATGACGCCATGTGTTCATAGAAAGGGGCATCTATCCTGCGTTACTGGTGCAATCCACCACTCCCAGTCAACAGCAAGCATCGGTTGCCTTATGTCATAGCTTCTGACAGATACACCTAAATTCCACGTCAGCTGTAAACAATCGAGTCTGGAACAGACAATCCAGGGATCAGCTTCAGGATCAATGATCCCGTTCATTCCGGTACAACGCCCAGTTGTCAATCATTTGGACCCAGCAAGTACCACTGCTTAAGGGGGAATGAGTTCGAAACTTGGCAACCTGCTGACCAGAAACGTGTCATATTTGAATATAAATATCCACCTTAACCTTTCTGGAATGTCTTGACCGAGTACAAGAATGGGTTAATGGTACATTGTATCATGTTCATGACCAGACTGAATTCAGTGAATGCACGTGCATTGTAAATACATGTATAACTACAGTATAATAGCGGTATAGTATAAACATCTGGACAAAGAGAGGCCCAGCGAGAGGGATGAAAATCATGATGCAGATTAGGATAAGACACACTCACGTTGCAGAAACCTTCTCTTAGTCTTGGCTCCAAGTTGTAAACTTGCGTTACAGTTAAACTTGTCTGACATTAATGAGACAAAGAACGACTGATAGACGAAACTCTGTCTCGCGAGCAGACTCCGTTCTTTCGTCAGTACTTCACCATACGCCAATGTGTCGTTTCACGGTGTCCAGTATAAATATGTCCCGGTAAAACCTCACCCCAAATACATATGTAGCTTCGTGTCAGATGCCGGTGTCACGGCATAAGTCCGCCCTCCGTACAAATTGGTCCGGGATATTGTTTTGCACACGTGGCAACACCCAAGACCTACAGCCCACGCTTGTCCATACAGACTAATCACTGCTGATATTATTCATGTGTTCGCCGCTCAGACTGATGTCTGTAGAAAATATGATGATATGACACAAGAACACTTTTTATCCTTTTCTACCAAGTATAACGCTTTCTCAGTAATCACTAGATAAATCGGAACAAACTACGTTGAAACGTTATTAGGAAGACCAAAAATGTGTTTCCATGTTCATTCAGATACCAAATTCTTATTTATGAGATTTGAAATCTATTCACGTCTTCTGATTATGTTCAGTCAGAAAAACACGGCTCAGATGAAGATAGAAATTGACTGCTTACCGATAAGAAGACTGAGCACACACATTCCTTTTAATGTATGCTGTTACCCCGCAGTTACCCCTTGTGTTACCGTCGGGGTTTGTCATTGTCACAAATAACATGAACCCAAGCAAGCGTGCAAAACACCTACGCAGCTTGAATAAAAATAAGCTTAAAAGCTAATTAGAACAGGGTTACAACGTTCAAAGCCTTTCTGTATCATTCAAACACTCAGTACTAGCAAGTGGAGGACATGTGTGATTTACATTTATGTAATTGTGACCTGGTCCAGTAGTTTTGCATGTATCATTATGCAATGTCGACAAGAACGTGATGAACCCATTAGGAATGAGGGCGGTGGGGTAGCCTAGTGGTTAAAGCGTTCACTCGTCACGCCGAAGACCCGGGTTCGATTCCCCACGTGGGTACAATGTGTGAAACCCATTTCTTGTGTCCCCCGCCTTGATATTGCTGGAATATTGCTAAAAGCGTCGAAAAAACCATACTCACTCACTAGGAATGACCGTTTAGGTTTCGACTGCTGGGATAGAATCCATCCACCTGTTTGCGAATGTCTGAAGCCATCACTATATAATTGTTGTTGTGTTTTAAAATGGTATAATAAAGAGTAAACAAAAAGCCCGATGTTTTAAAAAGATGAAAAGAATTTAGATGCTGGTCAAGGCGGTATTTGTAACATTTAATTTAAAAACAGTCAGCAAGACGTTGTATAATGTAGCGCCATACATTTGCAGAATCCCCTTACGCTTAGATTAACTCCTATACTGAGACATATGCGTACGGACGTCTTAGAGCTACTATTACTCTGTGAAAACATTGTGAAAAACAGGTGTCGGTAACGCCATTGTCGAACAATGTTCAGGTAGGCAAAAACACATACTCTGTCATCATATTTCATGGTGTCAATCACTGGATTGTCTGGTCCAGACTCGATTGTTTACAGACCGTGTTGTACACGTGTCTTACTGCTGAATGTGGCGTCAAACAAACACATACTGATATTAAAGAGGCATCGTTCAGTTAACTTGCAGCTTTTTATTCATCATAGACAAAGTAATAAAAAAAATGTACTCTCTCTCTATATAAAAAATATGTATGTATGTATGTATGTATGTATGTATGTATGTATGTATGTATGTATGTATGTATGTATGTATGTATGTATGTATGTATGTATGTATGTATGTATGTATGTATGTATGTATGTGTATATATATATATATATATATATATATAATGATATTAATTTTAGATCTTGATATAACTTGCTTTGGTGATTTGGTGCGAGATGAAGTGAATTGATATTCTGATATTTCCATTTTTCATATATTTCACTGTGTTTAAACAACAACTTTAACATAATTTTTTTTTAAACAAATACATTAATACATAAATATAAAAAATACCTTCAAACTGACCACCCTTCTGTGAATCAGATGACCTCAACGAGGTTGTCATGGCGAGCGACATCTAATTCATTGCCAGGATAGTTTGGCATTATGTTGATTGAATCATGCGCCTCAAACGGCATTCCGTAATCCCGAAACAATGCTAATCGGCCACAGTGAGGCAAGAGGGCAATTACACACAACTAAAAATACACCCCCTGTAGGGTCGATACCGTAGGGTCAAAGGTTCACGTGTTAAGCGGCCAATGCCGATAATATTTCTGCATAAACTTATGCTTATGTCAGCAAAAGTATGACCGGTCATAGATTTGTGCAACATCTGTCATCTGCAGAACAGCATATGCCGCACATGTACATAAATGTTCCGGCAAGTACAAATGGTTGATACTCAATACCTACAAATACAGTAAGTGTGATTTAGAACGTAAACGCTAATCAAACCGAGCAGATACGAATGTTATTAATATAGGATATTTATATAGCGCACATATCCACGCAACTAGTGCATGCTCAAGGCGCTGGTACTTTTTCCCTCGATCGCTGGATGTCAATCTCAACGGCACATCGTATTGTCAATCTCAACTCCCTGGGGAGTATACAACTCTTGCAGCCACTAGGCGCACCGAGTTATTGTGGCTTTCCCACCCTAACGAGGAACCCATTCACAGCTGGGTGGACTGGGACACATAGTCACAGTACTTTGTCCATGTTCACAGCACGTTGCTGTACCCGCAACTAGGTGTTTGCACGTATTCATGTGGCCATCATCTGGTCATTTACCAACGGATTAAGTGCACAGGATTGTGTACTGTACACTATGGGTTGTGACAACACTGAAGTCTGCACACAAAGTTGACTCCAAGGTTTTTACACCCGGTCACAGGTGGGCTCGATCTCGACACCTCAACCTCGCTGGATCACTAGCCTGGCGCCTTAGCCAGCTCGCTCGCAAAACATATATGAATTTGTGCGTCAAATCTATTAATGAGCGTGAACAGAAACATGCCGTGTACTTGTATGAGCACAAGAGTACTACGATGAACACAGAACTGTGTAACTACACATTTACACAGAGGATATACTTCGAATTTCACTTGAGAGCCTGTTTCTGTAAAACACTTTATAGTCTCCTCAATGGTAACCTTTTGTTCAATACAAGGGCGTATAAGCCAGCAGTTCATATTAATGTATGAACAAGCAATGTCAAGATAACTTATGAGGTTTACAGACACAACGGGTCAACATTGCAGCTAGTGCACACGTGTGTGTAAACGGACACGCCTGAGACAACGAACACCAACTGTATGGAACATGTCAAAGACTGATGAATAGATTGCATAATCAGTTGTTCACGGTGTACATTCAGCAACTTACGTGTGATCGAGATGAACCTTGTCTTCGTTATTGAGCGTTTCCTGAGTTAAACGTATGACCTTGGTCGGAGCGAAAGGCGATCCAGGGTTGCTATAGTCCATATCTAAATACACAATATGTGCATGGACACGTGGAAATGAAACCACACACCATTTGATAAACTGTTTCATGTTAGGCACATACCGGGAAATGAATATTTTCTTGGTGAGGTGAGAAGATCCATTGGCGTAAGTCAATAAGCGTATTAAAAGGAAATGAGTCATTGATGTTACGTATTGTGGTGTTGAAATCATATTCTACATATTATTGAAGACAGCTGGCGTCTCTGTCTGCGTCCCTTTATTACACCACGATTCACCATTTCATCACAGTACACACCTTGTGTGAAATATACTTCATGTATATGTCAGCTCGCCCCAAGTGTCGATCGATGCTCAATCTGTTTTTGACTCGATTATTTACAGACTGCCGTCATAAAGCCGGAACATTGTTAAGTACAACCCACATTCGTTTGCCCACTCACCAAACTCGGTTCCCAAATTCTCACTCGCTTTTCTTTATGCCAAGATTTAACGTAACTTAAGTCTTAACTCTCAGACATCAAGATTTCCGTGCGTGGTCAGCTATTTGCCAACTGCTCACAGCGAGTCTCACAGTCATTTGCAGTCACCTGATTCATGGTCTGTGTACACATAAATGTGTCAGTTGATTGATATTCGCACCAGTGGATTATCTCCCCCTGAAATTGATTATCTTCTGCAAACCCTAGTCAAAGAAAACCAAACGCAATATGATTATTTACGTCATCCCTTTTGGACTCATTCAAATAATGAACACAGAAATAGCAAGACTAAAGCAATAAAATAAATTATTTATCAAATTCACATAAATGAAATAGAAATGATAGACACTACATTATTAACCTATTCATACATGGACAGAAAATTATTATTTAACGAATCTGCAGCATTTATTGTATTTACTGCAGTTCAAGAGAGCATCTAGTTAAAAAGCTAGGGCATTAAGGAGCTTCAAATCAAATATTAGAAATAACAAAATTAATATTTCCGTTCTGCTCATTAGGAAAACTATTTCAGGAACTATTCACTTATAAGGGCCGTTGGGTAGCCTACTGGTTAAAGCGTTCAAAGACCCGGGTTCGATTCCCAACATGGGTACAATGTGTGAAGCCCATTTCTGGTGTCCCCCGCGTGATATTGCTGGAATATTGCAAAAGGCGGCGTAAAACTAAACTCACTCACTTACTTAATCACTATTACCTCACGAAGGGGACATATTGCACCTGCTCTTTTTATCGTGCACGCGTCATTTGGCTGTTTCTTTTCTTCTTTGATAGGCATTGGAAGTAGGAGCACTAAGGAAGCATACCAAAATATGAATGAACAACTTCTCTATAACAATTAGAGCGACGTCATCGTTTCTTATCAGTTAGTTCGGTCACTGTCTCATTGGGAATGTCTACTTCCCAGGAATGTGGACATCACAACAAGCAAAATGGCACAACAGTTTCCTTTTAAATATTTTGGCCCGCAACAACCAATGCCAAATTTTCATCTCGCAAAATCCATTCTGATTCAACACTGCAGGTGACGATAAACCCATACGATCTGCTCTCTGGGGGAACCACTCGAAGCCACTCGTGGCTTCGTCTGTATCCGTCCAAAACGTGGGATCCGTGGCAACAGTTGCACTCGGAACACATACATTTCTCTGTTGATAGTGAAAACGTTTACTGGATAACATTAATGCTTTCCCTAACGCCGCACTCAGCAATATCCAGGGTATATGGAGACTTATTGGATAACAATGCATATATGCGTTATTTGTTTTAAAGAGTTCCTATGTTAACTGCTGTGTTTCAAACTCATTTCTAAATTATAATGTCCCAAAATGTCGTTTGTTTTAAGAAATTGCTATGTAAATGCACATCTAAGTTAGATTAAGCATCCCCACAGACACAGACACAGACACAAACACAAACACAAACACAAACACAAACACAAACACAAACACAAACACAAACACAGACACAGACACATTCAGAACATCCCCAAAAGAGTATATTCTTACTCAGTAGGTGTAAATTTAAACCTAAGCAGTACGTTAAACAAAAATGATTATAACTGAAGTGAGTTATGGAGTTTATAATAATTTCTAATTATTTTCTTAAACATTTATTACTAAGTCTTGTAAGCGTAAAGAAACCTGAAAGTAAACAATGTGTATAATGTACAGAATCTAGACTTTCCGTATTATAAATTCTTTCGGGTTATTTGTCTGAACAAACACATTGAACAACAAATGAAGTATTCATTACTCGTACATGGGGTATATCGTGTGTCTCGTGAATATGATGCAGCCCTCATGATGTGACTTGGAAATTGCTGCTCCCCTCGTGAAAACATCTTCCACGATTAGGGATAGATCATATTTCACTAGACACGTGAAATATCATCTGTGCACACATCTTGCATAGAGATGACTGACCTTTGCGAAACACAGATTGTGTGGGAAAGATATATGCAGATTTATTCAGTGAGAGTGTTCTCTCATTTATCCAGAATATTTACATCGTTCAACCAGCACATACAAACATACAACTGATAGACACCATGCATATTTCAACCTGCTCTTTATTATCACTTTCTATGATAGGTTATTCCATGGAATCAAGGATATAACGTGCTACCCCATTGCGAAAAGTAAATGTTCCTGCTTTGACTAAGCACACAATTCTGTTCATTTTAATGTACGAAAGCACACAGACACACAGACAGACAGAGAGAGAGAGAGAGAGAGAGAGAGAGAGAGACACACACACACACACACACACACGCACACTATAAGCACACATTAAATACAGAAATTAATAATACGAGAAATATCATTTGTCTCAGATCAAATTGCCACGTCATACGGGAACAGTTTACTTTCTTTCTTTAGCAGGGCCCACTGTTGTTGTTCTGCGCCGTGACATTGCTGGAACATTGCTAATGCTAGGGGTACACTATGTTCCCGGCGGCCACGGCAGCCCCGTTTCCCCGAAACGTAGTGCGCCGTGGAATTTTGGCCATCTTTTTCCTCCAAAGTCAAGTTTTGTTAGGTCCTGCTAAGTTTTCTCACGGTCTATCACGGTATCCGTGATGGGCCGTGGAGAAAAACGGGAAGCTCAAAGTCCCGGAAGCTCAAAGGCGCACTACATTTCCTCCCGGCCTGTCGCTTCTCGTGGGTTCCCTCACGTTTCTCACGTTTTGATCAAGGTTTTGCGCGTTCTGTCAAAACTTTCCAGGGATGAAACGTGGACACCGGCCAGCTGTGGAGCACGTCTGTGCCCATGGCATAAAAATAAGGACTCCCAAGCAATAGCAGCCATTGTATCCTGAGAGCAGCATGAACCCCAGAAGAACATTTTGTTTGTATCTTTGTTGGGGGCATACACTGAGTCCTTGCGTCAGCAAGAAAGCCAGTATCAGCTGCAGAGGGAAATGCCAGAGAACGCAACGTGTCGTATCTCGCCGGCCATATAAACGTCACACGCCTGGATGCGCCATGAGACAACGGCCGAATCGGCTACCATACAACCTAGCTTGCCGTGAGAACCAGGACAATACGGGCAGCAAGGATGAAACAACCGTGACAAAAACAAACGTGGCCGAACGTGACAGAACTTGAAAGGACGCAGGGGAATACACATGCCTCCAGTCAAACTACTGACCCACTGTATTACAAGTTTTGTAATGGCGTATTACGTGCTGTCACGTTTTGGTGCGTTCTCCCCGTTTCACTACGGCCTACTAGGTTTCCCATTAGTACCTTGACTGCCGTGGCACATACAGTTTGAAAATCTGGCACGGCATCCACGGCAATTACAGACTGTCACGTTTGCTCATTCAGCCCCCTGTCTCACGTCACGCCCGTTTTGTCCCCGTTTCACGACGTTTCGGCGAAGCGGCGGTTGCTGTTTGGCGCCTGGAACATTGTGCATTGTGTAGCCCTAGCATAAAGGCGGCGCAAACCTAAACTCCCTCACTCACTCTTAAACGGGAAACTGAAAAACATGTTATAAGGGAAACAATCCTTACTAAAACGTGTCCAAAATGGCAGAAGTTGTAGTAGACTGGAGTTCAAGAACTCTAAATGATAGGAACTATATGGTCACTGTCCAGCTGACTAACATTTTAAAGCAGTATGTTTATAGGAACGGTTTGTGATGATAAACTAAACGAATAAATATACAATAAAGTGGACTAAAAGTTAACTCGTATGAACCTTGCGATGACAAAGATCCTTAAAAATCCGGGCTTGAATTAAAGCTGAGCAACTGACGCTTGTCGGAAGAGGTTGTCCGCCATGACACATTCCATCGTGTCCCACTTCGTAGATCGATTCTATTGATGGTTAATCATTGGATTGTCTTGCCCAAACTCGAGTATTCACAGACCACCCTCGTGTAGCTGCAATGCTGCTGAGAGTGACGTGAAACAACAAACAAACCAACAAAACAGGATCATATACATACATCGCGTGAGGAATGAACACAATATATTATTTAGCTAATTATTTTAATGTGTATTCATAATAAAATAAACAACATCAAACACTCTTAATACATGGCACTAAACTGCTGTCGCACGCATTCACGTGATAACCCTTGTTTATGATAATCGGTAATTAATGTATGTAACGACCCAAGTAAAACCTCTTTTGGCAAAACCCTTGACTGGTTTCTTCAACAGCTACTGATCTTCACTAAGCCCGTGTTGTTCCCACGTGTATCCGCCAGTGGTAATATTTCCACCTTACCAGAATTACAATACTAGCCCAGGCGGTGGGGTAGTCTAGTGGTTAGAGCGCTCGCTCTTCACGCTGAAGACCCGGGTTCCATTCCCACATGGGTACAATGTGTGAAGCCCATTTCTGGTGTTCCCCGCCGTGATATTGCTGGATTATTGCTAAAAGCAGCCTAAAGCTAATCTGACTACAATACTAGCCATGTCACTTGTGACATTCGTTTGCGATACAGATTTTAAGGTTGTTTCATGAGCAATCTTTGAATTCAGTGTTGCAAACCAAGCCAAACTTTCATGTTTTTCTGGCTTAAACAGGAAACTTTAGCGAGCAGAAGACGCCAGTTCTCTTTAGAACAATACAGATTAATCTGTCCTTTAAAGAAGTATGATAAGACTGGTGCGGAGGCAAGAATAGAGCCATGCATTACCAATTGCTGAATAAACGAGTGACAAAATCACTAATAATGTATTCTTAATTCATGCTCCTGAGCACGTTACTATAATCGTCTGCAGTGAAGAGAAATCAAGCGTATGCCGATTGTGTATTCAAGTGTACACATTCACCCACCAACGCACACACACATGCAGGCACACACACACACACACACGTTACGGTATCGTGGCATGTTCGGTGTTGCGTGTGGTGTGCGGTGTTTCGTGTGGTGTAGTGTGGTGTGCGGTGTTTCGTATGGTGTGGTGTGCGGCGTTTCCTGTGGTGTAATGTGGTGTGCGGTGTTTCCTGTGATGTAGTGTGGTGTGCAGTGATTCCTGTGGTGTGGTGTGCGGTGTTTCCTGTGGTGTTATGTGATGTGCGGTGTTTCCTGTGGTGTAGTGTGGTGTGTGGCGTTTCCTGTGGTGAAGCGTGGTGTGCGGTGTTTCCTGTGGTGTAGTGTGGTGTGCGGTGTTTCCTGTGGTGTAATGTGAGGTGCGGTGTTTCCTGTGGTGTAATGTGCGGTGTTTCGTGTGGTGTGGTGTGCGATGTTTCGTGCTGTGTGGTGTGGTGTGCGGTGTTTCGTGTGGTGTGGTGTGATGTGCGGTGTTTCCTGTGGTGTGGTGTGCGGTGTTTCGTGCTGTAATGTGCGGTGTTTCGTGTTGTGTGGTGAGGTGTGATGTGCGGTGTTTCGTGCTGTGTGGTGTGGTGTGCGGTGTTTCGTGTGGTGTGGTGTGATGTGCGGTGTTTCGTGTGGTGTGGTGTGCGGTGTTTCGTGTGGTGAGGTGTGATGTTTCGTGCTGTATTTCGTGTGGTGTAGTTTGATGTGCGGTGTTTCATGTGTATGTGCGGTGTGATGTACGGTGTTTCGTGTGTGTGGTGTGGTGTTTCGTGCTGTGTGGTGCGGTGTTGTCGTGTTTCCTGGGTGTGGTGTGCGTGTTTCGGTGTGTCATGTGTGGTGTGTGGTGTAGTGGTGTGGTGTGCGGCGTGTTTCCTGTGGTGTGGTGTGCGATGTGGTGGTGTGATGCTACGGTGTTTCGTGTGGTGTGGTGTGATGTGCGGTGTTTCGTGTGGTGTGGTGTGGTGTGGTGTGGTGTGGTGTGATGTGCGGTGTTTCGGTGTGGTGTGTAGTGTGATATGCTGCGTGGGTGTAGTGTTTGTGCGCGTGGTGGTGAAGTGTGATGTGCGGTGTTTCATGTGGTGTAGTGTGATGTGCGGTGTTTCGTGTGGTGTGGTGTGCGATGTGCGGTGTTTCGTGTGGTGTAGTTTGATGTGCGGTGTTTCCCGTGGTTTGGTGTGATGTCTCGGTTTCGTGTGGTGTAGTGTGATGTGCGGTGTTTCGTGTGGTGTGGTGTGATGTGCGGTGTTTCGTGGAGTGTGGTGTGATGTGCTGTGTTTCGTGTGGTGTAGTGTGATGTGCGGTGTTTCGTGTGGTGTGGTGTGATGTGCGGTGTTTTGTGCAGTGTGGTGTGATGTGCGGTGTTTCCTGTGGTGTGGTGTGCGATGTTTCGTGCAGTGTGATGTGCTGTATTTCATGTGATGTAGTTTGATGTGCGGTGGCTCATGTTATGTGATGTACGGTGTTTCGTGTGGTGTGGCGTGGTGTACGGTGATTCGTGTGGTGTGGTTTGGTGTACGGTGTTTCGTGTGGTGTGGTGTGAGGTGAGGTGTTTCGTGTAGTGTGTGCTGTGGTATGCGATGTTCGTGTGGTGTGGTGTGAGGTGGTGTGATGTGAGGTGTTTCGTGTGGTGTGGTGTGGTGTGGTGTGGAGTGCAGTGTTTCGTGTGGTGTGGAGTTTGGCGTTTCTTGTAGTGTTTCGCGTTGTGTTTCTTGTATTATGTTGTTGTGTGCGGTGGTTCGTGTGGTTAGGTGTGGTTTGGCGTGCTGTGTTTCGTGTAGTGTGGTGTGTTTCGTGTGATGTGGTGTGCGCTCCTCATGGGGCATAGTGTGCAGTGTTTCGTGTTGTGCAGTTTGGTGTGGTTGAGTGAGTTGTAATCATAATCATGATGTACCTCCTGTTATAATGTAAAAATGAGATATCGTCAGCAGAAATCATCCTTTTTCAAGCACAAGAGAGGTGTTTCGTAATCCTGTCTGTTTTTGTACGTTGCACTATAATATAATTGATTATTGATTTACGTTATGTGGCTTGTATTACTACGTTACCCACATACCAGGATTGTCATGAATCTGGAGTTATCACATATTACATAATATTACATAGCTATTACTATCTTTTTACGCCTAAGCTTTAGTATTTCCAAATCTAATATATCATACTGTATATCATATGAATATATCAATATAATACCAATAGGGTAATAATTATGGCAAATGTAAATATGAGTTCACACAGTGCTTTATTACTGAATTATTTCCTTACCACCAAGACAGGTTGCGCGCAGTCAGTAGTGTCGATATTCAAGAACGGTAACTCCAGCTGGCTTACCCACAACAACATCTGACGAAACAGCAACAAATCACATCTCTGCATTACCTCTGTTTCTCTGTCTGGAACGTAGGGTGTTCATGGAAGCATGTCAGGAACAGGTAATGTCAAAGATGTTTTGTTTCTTCTCCTATGTATTAGCACCGTGTGTAATAACTGAGCGAAACAAAGCTTCGATATGCCTTCATCGTGGCGTCTTCCTCCAGCCGTTGGGGATACACGTGAAGCATCGATCTGAAACAGGATGTACTCAACAACTCGTCTATCATTGGTGAAACATGATAGTCTATCGCAACGTTGGCGGCAGGTTTTCATAAGGATGTACAAGATGTCATGTCGAAAGTGGGAGCAGTATGATGAACAGTTTCTGGTTACCATAGTGGCATGTTTCTGCCAAGGATAATGACATCCCATTTGCCCTTACGGGTCTTCATACTGCGGTGGGCGAGTTGTTCGTTAGCTATTAATACACACAGGGACTCTTCTGTGCTGTGATGCGAGGTGGATCGGATTTAAGGTGGCGTTCAAGATTAATATAATTATATAAGTGTTTATGTGTTGATACTAACCTGACGTGTCTAGTGAGGACTAGTTACTGACATACAATGTCGCAATATTAACTGGATATTCCTTTTAAACACATTATACAGATGTTCTATCTCTTAGATGATATATTCTCGTGTGAAGCCCTACCGTCTTTGTGGAGAAGGTTGTAATATCTACCTTCAAGTGTTTTGCCATGTGACGTTTGTGAGCTGCCATAAGGAGCAGTGGGGTAGCCTAGCTGATATGCGTTGATATGCGTTCGTCTAAGGCCCAGGTTACGATGTGTAACGCCTATTTGCCGTGTCCCCTGCCTGGAATAATGTTAAAAACAGCTAAAAAGTGTCCTGAACCTTTCGTTGAAATAAACTCGGAAGTAAATAGACGTGATTCATTAGCATGGATGCGAATGGTAGTTTAGGAAACATTAAGATCGGTGTAAATTGTTATTTATATTATACGGTTTTTTTCAGCGATGTGTCTTAGCGTCGGTTTTCGCAATATTCCAGATATCGTGAATGCTCTCCATATATATGTTATTTTACACATATTTGAATGAGATTCAGTTTATAGTTCATTGTGTGTTGTCACGTAATTCAAATTGTTCGCACTGAACAGTGGTTTCATTTGCTTATCATTTCAAACGCATTAAATCAACCGTCAAATATTCTCCCATTACCAGTGATACACTTACCAGCTGTTGAGTATACAGTCAGAGGATATTGATTGTTATCTGTGACAATCAAAGTAACAACCTGTTGCTCTCAATAATCCAGGCTTACATGTACATATTTCTTTATAAGCCTTTCCGCATCACTGATACCGGTCAATAGTGGATATAACACTACAATAGCATCTGTCATCAAATGTGTCCTTGAAGTGGCAATCAAATGGTAATTATTTAAATATCTCAATCGCAGAAGAACAGTTTGACTGACAGGTTGACCCCCTGTGTGCCTAAGAACAACACGATTCACCCAGGCGTGGAGCAGTAGAGGGATACAAAGCCTCTACCTCCCCACAAGAAAGAGACAACTTATATAGATTATTTTAGATGTGTCAGAGACAAATCATCCCTTCTAACCAATGTCAATCTTAGCCCAGAAAGCGTGTTTACTGATTTGGAAGTCAGTGCACAAAATTATGTTAGAAGTGTCTTTCTAGATCTGATCTGAGATGCTCTCCCTCTCTCGACGTTCTTAAAGCTCATCTCATGACGTATCTCTTTGGGAGATATTAAAATTGACTTCGATCTAAACGTCGCACATTACAGTGTGTGATTATCGGTATCTAAAGTTGTGAGCGGTTATATGTACATTTGGTACATCTTTTAATAATTCATCCACTAGTTAAGACGTCGTACGATTTACAATATGACATGAATAAATGCTGTTCGGATTATTAGACCCAACTGTGACCTTCATGTTCCCTATACAATTGTCACAGAGGTTTGTTGACATTTATATGACAATGACAAACACCAGCTGTGTGAATGTTTGACAAACAATAACAAAACATGTCTCCGCCACCGTGCCCCACTGCTGGTGTTATTTCCATATAACAGGTTGGCTGTCGTGATAAATGTTTTTATTATCACAAGGATACTCGCCACATCATTCTAATGTTTGCAATATCTGTAAGGCTGACTGTACGGAACAAGCCTATATATTTCACAACACTGTTTCATTACAAAACATTCCATGCAACCTACATTTCAAAGGACATATTTGTCGACTTATCTGCCTTGTTATGGTCAAGTGGTCAGAGGTTCACGATGAACATGTTTCAGGGTGCATTTCAATAGGTAATGTATATTTTATGACATAATGCTTAATAGGCAGGCAGACGTTATTCGTCAAAACTGCATTTTAAGTAGTTTAACCAGTTTCATCTTTAAAATTGCAAAGGATGTTAATTAATTTATTTACAATTATTTGGTAATTTCTCGAATCTGATTGATCAATCCTTAAAAAAACGGTGTAATGGAGATACCGTTTTTCTTATAAAGAGTGAACTGGATAAATTGCAAAAGGGTTGTAGCGTGGTAGGTTATGGGTTCATGTGTTTCTCCATGTGATTTCATGTACAGAAAAGCATGTCAGAAACTTCTAGCTGTCGCCGTTTCATTGATGTTTTCTGAGCCTCAGACAGATCACTGCACGTTACTTAAAGATGCGTTTGTAAATGTTTCAGATGAAGTGGCACCGCCTTGGTACCGCTCCACCCGATATTTCATGGCTTTCATTAGCTCCTTCGGTATGGCGAACACCTTCCTTCAACGCGGCGACCTCAGCATGGCCATCGTTTGCATGGTGAACCACACTGCCGTAGACATCCTCAAACACGGCCATTCCATGATCGACAATGTCAGCCTCTTCTCAAACGACACAGCGAGATATATGTATATCGGAAGCAATACAAGCATATCTAACACGCCCTCTGGAGTCACGAACAATGTCACAGCCGGTGAGTCTCCATACCATTCGTGTGGCACTCAGACATCTGAAGAAAATACACGAGAGAAGGAGGTAAGACTTTCAAGTTTCTTCGTCAGTAAACCGCCGCCATATAGCTGGAATATGCGTAAAACTAAGTGCTGCGTAAAACTAAACTCACTCACTCACTTCGTCACTAAAACTATGTTCCGGTCATGATTCGATTTTACGGTTGTTGGATGTATTTTCTGGAACATGAATCCTACAAGTCATTGATAATTTAGCAATGGATACGAATCGTATAATTCATGCTTAAGGCGGGAACAGGAATTGGACAAAGCTTGCTTAATGTGTGGGTGAATACGAGTCCTACACAACTTTCTTGAGGTATGATTCAATGTGCATCTGACAAATAATGCCACTGACATTACATTATGCTAAAGCTATGAATGCATATGGATTCTACAAAACATGATGTGAATGAATGTGAATCCTTATAACCATTCTCAAGGTGTGGATGATTGTGAATCTTACAAACCGTTCTTAAGGTATGGGTGAGTGAGAGAGTGAGTGAGTTAATCTTAAGTCACATCAGCAATATTTCAGCCATATCGATCGTGACTAATCAAGTTATAGATTTATAATAATTCAAACTATATAATTATAAACACCTGTCAACGAAAGACAGTAAAACAACTAGATTATCACAGATATGAATATATAACTAGTAATTAGATCTAACACATTTTAACTATAGAAGGCGATACAATACAAAACCAGGCTGTTGATCGCCATCAACTGAAAGTAGATCACAAAACGAAGGACCATGGGGACTTACAGTGCCATTGCTACCTGCATGGACCCTACCTGGATGTATATTATAAAAAATCCCTTCAGCCACTGGCGATTAGAACTAGTCATTTAGCCATAATTTAAAATCACAAAATTACTACGTTTTAAAATTCTGGTGAGTTTAAATTTTCTTTGAATTTTTCGGGACTCTCAGGAGGACAATCTTAAGGTATGATGAATGTGAATCATACACCGTTCTTAAGGTATGGCTGAGTGTGAATCTTACAAAGCGTTCCGAAGATATAGATAAAGGTGAATCTTGCAAAGCATTCTCAAGGTATGGATGAATGCGAATCTTACAAACCCTTCTTATGGTATGGATGGATGTGAACCTTGCAAACCATTGTTAAGGTATGGACGAATGTGAGTCCAACAAACCACGAATTAGGTAATACTATGAAAAATATTAATTGAAAAAGCCATGCTGCTTAAATAGTGAGCAGTTAGAATTACACGTTCTACGTCAAAATTCAAAAATCATAAATTCGGAAAAACTTTTTATGTTATGGGAAACAATTATGTTACATTGGATGTACTTTGTAATACGTCAATTAGCTACATGTAGTTCACGAAACGCGGTAACATACGGCTTTCAAGATGTGCAATATTGCAGTATGAAGAAGTTAATGTAAACGTATAACCATAATATCTCAGTTCACAGCAGAACAATCTAATAACATAAATGTGAAGAACATGTACACATTACACGTAATGGACGGCAGATTGAGTTGCATAAGATACTTTAGTTCTTATGTTCAACACTCAATCTCAAGGTCTAAGCCTGTTACATAAAACCCTTCATCAAAACATGCAAATAACGCTGTCGAGAGGGCTCGCTGATACGGTCGATCCATGTCATCGTATTGATGATGTGTTGATATTAATCACTGGATTTTCGGGTTCAATCTTAAGCTAGGTGAAATATTGTCGGGTGTGGCGTTAAACAACATCTTCAACATCAGAGAGAAAAATCAAACAAACAATTTGCCCACTCGATTCTACCGAGTGGGAAAGAATGCACTCTCTTGTTTTCCAATTGAGCAAATCAACTTTATTGTGTATACGACCGATCAGGATGTACACCTTTCGATATAACCAACCATTTACGTGTTAGTCCTGTAAAACATGGGAATTACAGTTTCATATTCGCCCCATGAGCAATGGATACCTCCATTCATATTTAGTGCTTGTTGGAATGATTATCGTTTTGTTTTTTGCTTTAATTACCTTTCCATTTCCACACAGGACGGGGAGCTGGTTTGGGACAAGGAGACCCAGGGCCTTGTCCTGGGAGGACTTTATTGGGGCTATATGGGTCTCCAGATTTTCTGCTCAATCATTATACAACGATGGGGATCAAAGAAAGTGGTGGCGACTGGGATGTTCTTTATGTCAGTACTGACGTTGTTGACACCGGTCACAGCAAGGTGGTCTCCCTGGGCAGTGCTCGTACTCAGAGCAGTAATTGGAGTCTTCAATGTTAGTAATTATGACCTGGAAACACGTAACATGGACTGTTAATACCTGTGTCTATATAATCCAAACAACAGCTTTTCCTCTTTAGAAATGAACAATAAATATTTATAGCAACACATATAAAATCATATGATATTGATTGATCGCTAATTGATCATTTTTAGGGTTTCACTATTCCTGGCATCTTCGCTGTCTGGGGAAAATGGGCGCCTCCGACAGAACGAAGTCGTCTCATATGCATTACATACTCAGGAAACATATCAGCAACCGCTCTGGTGTTTCCTCTATCAGCGTTCCTTTGCAAGCTGAAGTTTGCTGGAGGATGGCCCTCATTGTTCTATCTCTACGGTGAGCTCCATATGTATTTAACTCTCTTTGTGATTACCCTTTTGTACGACCTCCGCTGTTTTCAATGATGCAAGACCTGTTCAAACGCTTTTAATTGTTGGAAGACAAATCATACGTCAGTGTCATTCTGCTTATATGCTTGACGTTGCCGCATCACCAGGAGACACTGACCTGAAAAGAATAAACAATACTTGAAATACTGATTAAGTGTACGGTTTAGCTTAGGAAACACGTAGACCAGGCAAAGATCTGCATGTATTGACGAACAACACATGTAAGTATATATTTAACTGGCCAAGGTTATTCCATTATAATGATACCTGTTTTCGAAAATGGCTTGCGGAGACTTATTATAGATTTTTTATATGTTCTGAGCCTTACAATAATTTTTGGAATTTTGATATTTTTTCGAAATCACGAATATCTTATTTTGAAATATTAAATATCGAGAATTTAACCTATATGAGAGAATATGGCTGCAAAACCTAAAAGGTAAACATATAATTGAAATTTAGAGGAAATTCGACAAAATATTAAAATTGGTTTACCAAAGTGGCACTGTTATGATGGACACATATCTACAGCGTGGTGAAAACTTATGATTCCTTTCTGCATGGGTATACTGCACACCATTCTGAACTATATTAAGTGAAACTCCAGTACTGGAGGAAGCGTACCTCAAATGCCCTTGATGTTTTTCACGAGGTTCGGTGTTTGCCTCTGGTACAGATACTATGCACACAGTGTTGTTGCATGTGTGTTATGTACACACTAACCCTGCAGTGTGTAACCAGTGTTTGGCGAAGGTCAACATTTGATATCATATGGGCATTGTGTTAGTGTAGTTTTGTCACAGGTGTCGAAAGATATGTGTTGGAACATGAATTAAAGAAAAGAAACTCTTGAGTAAAATGATAGCGACTGTTATGCAAAACATGACACTTATTGAGATATTTTTTTGGAATATATATTTCAAGATAGATCAGTTGCTAAGTTTTGATATGTAGTTATTAAATGATATGTGCAACAAAAAAAAGAAAACGATTTTGAAGAGTTAGCTTCCACATAATTACCACATGGCACATTAGATCATCACCACATTACATGCCCATCTACACACTGTATGTACAACGTTGCTGCACATGTATGAAGCATAACATGCTTGTCATTGAGTTGGATGTAGGGCAGTAGGGCAGCCAACTGGTTCAAGCGTACGGGTTCGATTCCCAGTATTGGTACACTATGTTAACTGATAGCATTATTTGTACACGTAGACAGTGTATGTACAACTGCGTAGCATGTGTATGAGACATGTATGTTGATGGGGCAGTAAGGTAGCCAAGTAGTTCAAGCGTTCGTGTTCGATTCCCAGCATTGGTACCATACTTACATGAGCACATGTACATGTTGACACTGCATGTGGCATATATCGTGGTGGCGTGTGGTCTTGTGAACAGAGCCCAGGTCACAAATCAGTTTAAGTGAAGCAACATTGGTCACGGAGAGTCTTGGATGGGTGGCCGTATTTGGCAGCTTGCAATTGGCACTTGAGAGTTTCTAGGACTTCCGTTAGCTTCACAAAAAAGCACACATGGCATATGTGGTCTCGCCTAAGGCAAGTTGAGTTTGTTCCAAATTGCCACTGTTTCACTCAGCTGAAAATAGGTGCCCGGTGGGATAAGTAATATGATTATTAACCTTCTAGACCCTCACAGGTAGCTTGGATTATGTAGTGTAATAATGTCCTTATGTTTTATATACGCTTAGAGCATGCCCGTGCAGCGTGGAATTCAGCAATGTATAAGTGGCCTTATTTCTGTATGTTTGTGAATGAACTGTATGTTGGACAGTAGGGTAGTCTAGCGGTTAAAACGTTCGTGTTCGATTCCTTTCATTGGTACAATATGCGAGGCAATACGCGGTTTCCCTTACTTTGATAGTTCTAAAAACTACGCCCGTCTGTGTCCCTTTTATACAGGTTGTTTCTTCCAGGTGTCCTGGGTTTGTGCTGGACATTCATCTGGCTGTACTGTATGTACGATGAACCCGCACATCACCCCAGAATACACCCAAAGGAAAAACAGTATATTGAAGCAGCATTAGGGAGGTCGACCCTAAAAAGCGTGTCAGTAAGTCAATGCATTTTCATCTGATAAGCCTTCTTGAAGTTGTGGATGGGAAACATGCTGTTCATGAACTGTTATGGGGTTAACTGTCAGGTATTGTGAGTGAGTTAAGATTTGAAGTCACATCGACAGTATTTAAGCTGTATCGTGACTACGGATGACAAGACTTTAAGGATGATCAACGTCTTTATTTTGACAAATGGCGACGTTTCGGTAAAGATTCTTATACCGTTTTCAAGCATATCGTGACTAAACAAGTTATACATACATGTCAGGTATAAAGTATGTTGTGTTGATCATATACATTTGTGATATGTTGAGCCTGAAAGTAAAGATATCAAGAATTAACAAGTGAAATCATACTGAATGAAAATGATGCTAAACGTCGCGATCTATGTTATTTCACTAAAGACTTGCATTTGTGTGTACGTATATGTGCATGTTGCTGATGGCACTTGTCCAGAGTTAGTGCTCTGTCGTGTTGTAGCCTGCGCCTCTTTTACCAGTCCTTGCTGTATCTGATAATGCCATTCGTCAGGAGAACCGATTTATGGAAACACTACGCAAGATTAATGAATAAAACATGCCTTGTGTTTGTGCCCTCTCTTTGGCATATGTGTGGCGTGATACACTGCTTGACTGCATGAATACCGACTTTCTGTCTTTCGAGCATGACACATCAACTTTCATTCAAGGACCCGCCCTTGCCCAATACGCAGCCACACACACTCTCTACCACAGTACACAATGAAACAAAGAACTGAACTCTTTCAGGACATAACAGGTTAGGATATAATTTAAGAGCATTATGAATGGGATTTAAAGCCTAATGACGTGGCAACTTTCATATGTGACTTTGGATTTCTTGAACGAAGTACATGAAACAGTTTGCAACTCTGTACTGTGTGTTGTCCAGTAAGCGAGACTCATAGATTCAAGTCAGTATGGATGAGTGTGGGTATTTGGTTTAACGACTCTCTGAGCATTGTTCCAGTTATTTCATGTTGTGTCAGCTTGGTCTGGGAACATGAACCGTAAACGATTACCACTTCAGTGAAACCCACGAGCATGTACATAGAACCATAAAGAAAGAATTCTGGAATTTGAACATGGAAACAAAATAGTCTCTTGCATGCCTGTAGAATGTCACTCTGTACAGTCTACTGCAGCGACTTTGACGACCACTCCCCTACCCACTCCCCTACCCTATAGCTACTCACAAATCAAACCTGATTTACGAATGTTATAAGTAGGAAGAAACTATTGAAATATTTCTAAATATATCATTTTTACATTATTCTAAACAAGATATTTTTACATGTATTCATGTTACAGTATGAATTCATTCCAAATATTATTACTTAATTATCATATGCACGGCTTCAAAAAACGTTTCCACAAGACGACACATTATTAATGAGAGCATGGTTTGGTTTTACTTGCAGGTGCCTACACCGTGGCTAAAAATATGCACATCTTTGCCCTTCCTTGGTATAGTTTGTGCTCAGGTGACTTATAACTGGAGCATTTTCCTCATGATGTCCAATCTGCCTATCTACATGAAGGAAGTACTGCAATTTGACATTAAATCGGTCAGTAGTCTCGAGCATAATATTAAAACAGGCATTAAGGTGTTAATAAGTGTAAGAAAATATCTTCTGTCGCCTTAACCAATGTTCCTCCCGACAATGTACAGCGGGGAAATTGAAATAAGCTTTATCCTATGTACCCATGCGAGGATCGAACCCAAAGTCGGTGACTGACCAGCACTGTAATTGCCAGGATCTTCCGTTTGGAAATGCTTGATTATGCTCCTGGCATAGTATCAGATAGAGTTGTAAGGGAAGAAAAAGATGTCATATACTTTTGATGAATACATGTATCTTACATTGAAGGTTCGATCCCCGACCGCGTCATACCAAAAGACGTTAAAATATGGTACTTGTTGGTCCCTGCCTGGCGCTCGGCATTAATGGGTACAACAAGGATGGGTCGGCTTGGAGTCAGTATAATGTGTATGAGTGGGGTATTCATGCTTCACTGTGGCATGGTATCTCAGTTGGCTAGCACTATAAAACCAGCTTAAGTCTGGGCTAGTACAAGCAGCCGCACCTACACATACACACGCATGCACGTCGTTATATGAGCGAAAATATTCTCCAGCGCGACGTTAAACCCAATTTCACCTTACATTGTATATTAACGAGGTAACTATTGTGATAATCCTTTGAAACATTGAAACCCATACTGTTTCACAAACTGGCCGATGCATTAGAAAGTAATTTTAATACGTTTTGTGAACATGTTGAAGGTTGAGAGAATGTGTGAATTGAGGTAGTATGACAGAAAAGATTTGGAGACATGGTGTACCGTGACATAGTAACTCAACTATTTCACGGTAGTCAGTTAATCCAGAATTCTCACATGTTAATGAAGTAACGAAGACCGATCAGGCAAAACTCATAGTGGCCAAATCACCAAAACCTTCACGTTGGTGTGCTTCTGTCCATGTTGGTTATGAAACAGTTGATGTCATCGTTGATCCTCGTGTTAACAGAACGGCGCCTATTCCTTCATACCGTACCTGGCCATGTTCCTCGTCATTCTTCTCGGGTCATTCTGTGCGGATGCACTCATAGAGAAACAGTTACTTAGCGTAACGTATACTAGGAAACTCATGACTGTCATAGGTAAGTATATGTACGTTTGTAGTAGTTCTATGTAAACAAATCTGGAATGATGTAAGCATGAAACGTCAGAGCTCAGTCGAAATAAAAGTCTTCAGTTTGGTTCACTTTTGTACCTTATATAATATTTGTATTTGAAATTAAGAATAGTCATATCGTTCAGGAGATGTAGAAGAACACTTTTGCAGTGTGTAGAAATACATCCCTTCAAATAATACTGACCGCCTCCGTGGTGTAGTGGTTAGAGCGTCCACCCGGAGAGCGGAAGGTAACGGGTTCGATCCCCGACCGCGTCATACCAAAAGACGTTAAAATATGGTACTTGTTGGTCCCTGCCTGGCGCTCGGCATTAATGGGTACAACGAGGACTGGTCGGCTTGGAGTCAGTATAATGTGTCTGAGTGGGGTATTCATGCTTCACTGCGGCATGGTATCTCAGTGTGCTAGCACTATAAAACCAGTTTCAGTCTGGGCTAGTACAAGCAGCCGCACCTTCACATACACACACATGCACGTTGTCATATGAGCGAAATATTCACCAACGCGACGTTAAACCCAATTTCAACTCAACTCAAATAATACTATACCTGTAGTCATTTCTCAGTGTAGTTACTTTGAATGCATTTGGCAATGTGAACTTTCATGCAAGGTGCCCCAGATATGTCATCTATCACCTGTTTCAGGTCATCTTGTTCCTGGTATTCTGTTGATCATACTGAGCTATCTGGACTGCACCCAAAGTCACGCAGCCGTGGCCATTCTGACGTTAGCCATTGGCCTTGGGGGACTGGCCTTCTGTGGAATCTTGATCAACTTCTATGATATTGCACCTATATTTGCCACCAAAATTATGACCGTTTCCAACGCCATTAGCATGATTCCTGGAATTCTGGCTCCGTATGTTGTTGCTGAGATAACGACAGATGTAAGATAGATATTTCTCCTTGATGTAACTTTGCATGAAACGATCATGGAAAATAACAACTTAATTAACGCACGAACATACGAGTATTTCATTGATGTGCTTTTTTTATATTCATTCCATAGTTTTAGATCGTGTAGTAGATAAACAGAGCAAATTGTTAAACAAAAGCATGCGAATAGAAATATTTGTATAATTAATTTCTGTTTTAGTATTATTTTAAGAGGACACAATTACTTCAAAAATACGTTTTTGAAAGAGTTTTATTCACGTATTCGCAAAGATGACTTTTAGTTTGATCTTTTTGCAGAAAACTAGAGAACAATGGCAGATCGTATTCTTCCTCACTGCTGGTCTGCTTGGGTTGGGAACTGTCGTGTACCTGATTTTTGGACAAGGTCACGTACAGAAGTGGGCCGTTATCCGGGATACGCCAGAGGAAGAGATAGCTCTTCCTTCATGACGGCCAATCTTCAACACGCCACTTCAAAGAATATGTTCAGATGGAAAATGTCTTGTTCACTTTTGCCCACCTCACCATCATTGTTTACAAATATTTAAAGAATTAATTCATTCACTAAATCGTACATGCCCTTTCCAACAACTTGCATGTCAACACTGTGGTCATTCTGACATTGTGTTTGCCACTCATATCCAAAATGGTATCGTGTGTGTTTATTATTGATTCGTTTGACTGTTGTGAACACATGGTATTTTGGCAATAAATACTTTGTTTTTTTAATGTTACGTAATATTGTACGCTTCTGTAGTTTCTAGAATAATGTGGAATATGAGATAAGAAGTGTCCCAGTATCCCTTGTCCTCTGTAACAATCGTATTAAAACATATGATACAAAACACTAAAACCAGTTTCAAATCAATTCATATTAAATTTCTGCACAAACAAGTACGTTTTCATGAGAGTTAATATCAATGTCCATGAACACAACAGGAATACGTGCACGGTGTCCGCTAACTATGATGATGAGCAGGTTGGACCTGCACGCCTTCAATACTGAGAAGTATCTCTATTATAGTCGACCCGGCTGGGACATTCAAGTATGAAAATGTGCACTAAAGCTCGGAAAGTGCATTTCTGCAACAGCTGGAACTTCGGAACGTAAACATTTGCAGATGTGACGAGCAATGCATGCAGAATCACTGTGGTTTGTTTTCATGACTACATTACGATTTTACGAAACATATCCATAGAATCCATATCCGATTTTGAGGGTCATTTACAGTTTGCAGTTACGTCTAAAATGTGTATGCGTAGTGTCGAATTGTTCTTCAGCAACCCATGCTTGTCGTAATAGACGACTAACGGGATCGGGAGGTCAGGCTCGCTGACTTGGTTGACATGTCATCGTATCCCATTTGCGTAGATCGATGCTCAGGCTGTTGATCACTGGATCTTTTTGGTTCAGCCGCGATTATTAACGGGACACCGCCATATAGATGGAATATTGCTGAGTGGGGCGTTACACAGCAAAAACAATAACCCTCCCATAATTGTTTTGCGCACATATATATTTCATGGTGTGATTTTCCAAAGTCGGAAGTTATACTTATACCTAATCTAGTCATGAATCAACTTATCATGATTATGCTTACACGAGACAAGTGATCTACAACCACGTTCATGATTAGGACATTAAACATTATGACCACAGTAAATGTCTTCCAATCTTCCACTCCAGGATGTAACACGAATGCAGTGACGGAATAGGCGATTAGTATTTAACGCATCTTATGTGGTTCATTTAACGTTTCATTTATGCGTGTAGTGTTTCATGTATACGTTTAATGTTTCATCACTGCGTTTCATCACAACTCGTTGTGTAAACTGTACCACTCAGATGACACAGCGTGGTTGTGACAGACTGAGGGTTTTAATCGGACTGGAACAGAAGGCCTTAATCAACTGATCCTGAAACTGAACAGTAGAGTGAAGCCTTGTTGTGCCTTGGCATTTTAGCAGGCTTAATTCTAGAGACACAGAATTTCTCTGAATTTTCTTTTGCGAAACTGCCAAGGGAAAGGAATGACAAGACTTTATGGATGATCAACTTCTTTAATTATAATAGCGACCTTTTGGTGCGTATACCGTTGTCAAGCATGGACATTGTATAAGCATCCATTACTTGCAACTGCTAGAATGCCCCTCAAACAGTGCCAAGGGAAAGTATTGTATAACGACTCTGTGTTTATTGTAGAACAAGCCGTATTTAAACAGTTATCGCATATGTAGCCGAAACTCAGTATGTTCAGAGGGTTAAGCCTTTGGGCAATGAGAACGACCCGTAATTCAAATCTGACCCCAATAGCGTAACCGCAAACGGTTTGGGTTTGTACATCAATTTGTACTTTACCGTCAAGCTCAGGTGTTTTTTCTCACAAAGAGACCGTGATCCTCGTCTTCTCTTGTTTCTATGGGGTCGTGTGCAGAGTCACGAACATTGTCCGAACAACAATGGCGATGGAGAGAGCAAAATGTGGATAGTATCACCAAGCGTTTGACCCGGGTTTGGGAGATTGATATACCTTTATAAGAAAACGAGGAACAGTTACAGCCTTTTACTATCAGTGGTGTTGTGTGTACAATATAGAATGCAAACAGTACAGAAATGTGATGATAATAAGAATACATGAACTATGTAAAATCAATGTCAGTAAGGTACTTAAGGGGGACAGCACTTAAGGGGGCTGCTGGATAGGTAGAAGGTATAGCTTTAGGTGGAACTAGGCACACTGTCGTTTCTGCATCCTCGATAATCTCCAGGTATACATTACGATCAATCTCCACTATACCCTTGATGCATTCACGGCTTGGCTCGATGAGTGTATTACCTCCCTTTGCTGGCTTTTTATCCAATCAGGTGTCTACGCCGGGAAGTTGAGCGTACCAATCACAACTCACTTTCGCTTCTTAAATTTTCTAACCGTTTAATCTTGCCAACACAATTGATGCAGAGGTACTCTGAAAGAGGTAGAAGGAGTTATTTCATATATTTTTTTAAGGTTTCAGATCTGTCAATTTGTCAGTATGATTTCCCAAAAAATCTGAGTGGCACTGCGAACAAACCTTCGTGACTGCGACCACTGTCTTTGTTGACACTGGCAAGTTCGGATGTAACGACGGCTTAGCTGATTGGCTACTGTGAGAATGCGGAGCCAGCAAAGGGAGGTAAGATAATTATCGGGCCAAGCCGTGGATGCATCCAGGGTATAGTGGAGAGTGATCGTAACGTATACCCTGGAGATTATCGAGGATGTCGTTTCTGGAGAGCGCTTCATAATGGAGCGCGCACATTTTGACCCATGACTGCTTGTATTCAATGAGAATTATATAAATATGCTTAGGTTAATATGCCTCAAGTAAAATCTGCTATTCACTAAATAAAGTAAAAACGTTAGACATGACAAGTGTATTTGATCAGTAGGATATGAAAGCTATTGAGAATTATTCTTATTACTAAATATCCATGAAGATGATTATCAGAATTGATTATCAGTTGATTTGTATACTCATTATTGGTTTGTCGACGTTTGTGTCAAAACATGTATTGCGTTGAGTATCTGGGTAACAATTATGTACAGGTCGAATATTGTGTCTTTATTGTTTATTATACCGTCTCATTAATGCTACTTTCAAGATAATATTAACCATTTGATAAATGTTGTTTTCAAAATTTCATATGACAGTGAATAATCCTACTCAAATAATAGGGAATGCCTGTCCATTAAGACAAGCATGTTGTGCTAAAGGCGGTTGTAAACACACAACGTATACATTAAAAAATTGTTGTTCTAAGATGCCTAGCGGTTAGAACAATCAAAAAAAATACATTATCAGACAATAAAGGTATAGTCTCTTTATGACGTAACAATTGAATGACGTTATCCTGTCACTGCGCCATTCTAGTGTGCCCCCTCGTAGTCGAACCATTTTACGTCATTACGTCACAATGTAAGCGACGTCACGATGCATGTCAGTTGTCATCGCCTCGTACGGCCTCCTACAGTAAACTACTCCGTTCGATCAAGTTTCTTGGTTTGCAGTTGCTTCACGCAGCTAACATCACTGGTGGAAACATTACGTTTATGTTTTACGACGGTTAAAATGTGTCAATTCGACAAATTTTCAGCGACACGATAACGTTCGCAAAGTTGACATTCCCACAATGCAATCGTGGAATGTCGCTTGACTACTCAGCTTCGTCTAGATGTACTGATCTAAACTTACGTTGGTAGTAGAAATGCGACGTTCATATTGCCCCATATGGTTTACGTTAATGACAGATGTAATTAAAATAATTCAGAGAAGATATTTAATCCGAACGTAAACCGTCATCAAACTGTTATCATTTGGTTTTTTTTGGTAACGTTCGTCTTAACGTAGGGGGGCAGACACATCAATAGAACAGCGCGCCAGTTAGCCCTGTGAGAGGAATCTTAATTTAGGTCACGACACCATCGTTTGTTTTCTGCCTTAAATTAATCGTAATTATCCTTAGAAAGTATTATATTTGGCATCTTAGAAAAGAAATGCAGTTCGCTCTACCACCATGTATAGTGTAATAAAGCACACTTTCGCCCTGAACTATTATAACGTTAAAGCAATCGGACGCAAGCGTCCTCGTACTTTAACTATAATAGTTCAGGGCGAAAGTGTGCTTTATTACACTATACATGGTGGTAGAGGGAACTGCATTTCTTAAATAATACACACAGGTTCAGGAAAACAAATATCTTAAACACACAAGTTAGTCTGTATGATCTTCCTCATATACATAAGCAATGATGACTACTTCTATATACAAACATATGGACATCATTACACACACAGTGCTATTATGTCTCTGTCGGCTTACATTAGATTATTGACGTTGGCCACCGATAAAATCATATACTATCTAGAATATAACAATTTTGTATACGATGAACTGTATCAAATAACGAGTACGCCTTTCTTACCTTAATGAAAAGAAGAACCATTACAATCAAACAGTACACAATTATAACTTGTGTGGCGCTATAACTGTGGCCACTATATAATTTCACCTTTTGATGGATATGTCTATCACTATAGCCTACTATGCAACTGTCTTCTGTGAGCTGTGCTTGTGGGTATCCAGGTAATTATATGAAATTAATATTTCAATTCCATGTTATATTTATATCAGAGAAACTCCAATAAGTATACGACATCATGGGGGGCATGGTGGGCGAGCTGGCTAAAGCGCCAGGCTAGTGATCCAGCGAGCATGAGGTGACGGGATCGTAGCCACCTGTGACCGGGTGTAAAAACCTTGGAGTCAACTTTGTGTGCAGACTCTTTCAGTGTTGACACAACCCTGTGCACTTAAAAGAACCCACGAATCCGTTGGTATATGACCAGATGGTGGCCACATGAATACGTGCAAACACCTAGTTGCGGGTATAGCAACGCGCAGTAATCTTGGACAAAATACTGTGACTATGTGTCCCAGTCCACCCAACTCGTACGGATGGGAAAGCCACAATAACTCGGTGCGCCTAGTGGCTGCAAGAGTTGTATGATCCCAGGGAGTTGAGATTGATAATAAAATGTGCCGTTGAGATTGACATCCAATGATCGAGGGAATAACTACCAGCGCCTTGAGCATGCACTAGTGCGTGGATATGTGCGCTATATAAATATCCAATAATAATAATAAACATCATGGAAGTATATTGAGTGTGTATAATATATTGCTGACAGGCTTAACAGGCCTAATTCTACAACATATAGCCTCCCTTTTGGCACGTACGTTTGTTAGCCAGTAGCAAACATTCACCAAGCATCCAATGGGTATTTAGTATGCGAAAAGTGCCATGTGAACAAGCAGCTGGGAAGGTATTCTCCCAAGGTAAAAGAGCATGAAATGTGTATGAATTCTCCCGCTAATATGAAATTACCTTTTTTTAATAAATGCATCCAATTACTAACATCTAATTGACAATTATAAAACCGCGCACATTGTCATTGTACAGCGTGTCATGTTCATATTTGTTTACTGTTGCAGAATTGTGTTACCCAAGAACGATAACTCATGCTGTCTCACTCAGGACAAAACCAGGATAGAATGTCTTTGCTTAACCTACATATCTCTGTGTCTGGTAAAGTCAGGTGACACACTGAACATGCCGGCAACACGCGATGACCACGGAGGTAAGTTTTTGATGTTATTGTGAATCAAAAAGTTTATATTTCGTAAAACAATGGCTGCAGATTGTGTATGTGGTCCCACTCTCGCAAGTAAAAATTACAGTAAACAAATAACTTCTATGTAAGTCGTGGTAGAACATTATTATTATCATTGTTAAAGATCATGGTTATTGTAATTCGGTGACTAAATAATGTTACCTGTTGTTACCCTGGTAACCCAGTAAAGTGAGAAAACAAGGACTGCTCGGGATTGGAGTGTGCATGTTAAACTACATTATGTTATCTCAGTAAGCTAGCATATTTCGGGATTAGTATAAAATGCCTAACGCTCCCGCTTATCGTTCTATAAGTGTGATAATCTCGTAGGTGAAGTTAAACTGCAGTTAACTTCACCACCGTCTTGGAGGGGAAGAGCTTATGTTGAATCAGAATAAATTATGTGATACTCTTGAATATGTATTTGATCGTGAATCGCGCGTGTGTGTGTGTGTGTGTGTTGTGCTGTAAGATTGTACTTAATCAAGCATTTCATTGTGTTTGACCAGTCTCCCTCCACCCCCTACCCCAACAAGGCAACATATGCATATCATAACTATTCGTTGTTTGTTCCTTCGTCCATTCGGTAAAGCAAACATACAATACATACATACATACATACATACATACATACATACATACATACATACATACATACATACATACATACATACATACATACATACATACATACATACATACATACATACATACATACATCACGTAACTTATAGAGTAGCTTAAATTATGTATTTTGTCATCGTAGTTTGTCAGCCATGATGTTTTACGAGAAATGTAATGCATACTTCCTTGGTTTGGCTGTGCAACATGTTGTTAAACCATATCTGTAATTCCCATCAATACTGACTCTTGCATGTCATGTCAAATATCCATTTAATTAGAACAACGTCAGCCGTAGAATAATATCATCTGACAAAACGTGACTAGTTCCACACAGCACATAAACTTTAAAACAGTAAGTCTGTGTATTCCTAGAATGTACGAAGTGAAAAATGAAGAGAGAGAGAGAGAGGGAAAGACAGAGAGAGAGAGAGAGAGAGAGAGAGAGAGTGAGGGAAAGAGAGAGAGAAGGGGAAAGAGGAGGGAAAGAGAGAGAGAGGGGAAGAGAGAGGGGAGAGAGGGGGAAAGAGAGAGAGGGGAGAAGAGAGAGAGAGAGGAGAGAGAGAGAGAGGGGAAAGAGAGAGAGAGGGAAAGAGAGAGAGAGAGAGAGAGAGAGAGAGAGAGAGAGAGAGAGAGAGAGAGAGAAGGAGGAGGAGGATAAGAAAGAAAGGAGAGAAAATAAATTTCTTTTCAAAATTAAGAATTCTAACCTCAATTAGAGTACAAGTATAATCAAACAAGATTTCCGCGGACAATCTGTAGTGACATTTGCGTAACTACACTGCAAACCAAAGGTTTGTCATCGTGTTCTGCAGGAGAACTGCAAACAATCCGCAGACAAATAGCAAATAAAGAAAAGCTTGTAATATAATAAATTATGTACAGACAGAAAACGTGTCATGTTACAGTTTGCTAATCGTCAGTTACAAAACAGTAAAAAGCAGATAGTGAAAAGGATGTCAAGTCTAGGCGTCTTCTGGGATGCACTGAGGTCATTTGATGTACATAACATACACATGTAAATATTCATTCATTGCAAGCAAGACATTAAACTGTAACCTTTTAGCCGTCGGTATAGGTGCAGTAAAAGTGCTGAATCACACATACACTTAACATGTGATACACCCTGTGCGGTACATAATCAGTATTTGCTTCAATTCAAACTGCATGGAAACTGAAGTACGCGTGCCTGACTCAAATACTTTAGGATTGTCGTTGAGAGCACTGCACTTCCTGTAGATACCAACGTTAGCTGTTAAGGGTGTCAACGTTAAGAATTTCTCTTTACGTGTGTGTTTTTAAGTACATATGCACCTGAAAACATTAAGCACCCCTGGTAATTTTCCCAAAGTTGTATGTTTCGGCTAACATCAGTGGTTTTCACGCAAAGTACGTTGCTGCATGTTTTTTTGTTTGTAAGATCATGTCTTGACTCCACGAAAACACAAAAAGGAGTGTTTCTTCAGCGTATAAATAATGGATATGGGACAAGACACAATTCATCTGCTTGGGATAAAAACGATACCTGTATTGAGTTAGACAGACGGTCAGACAACAAGGCGTGTATGTGAAAAGGCAAAAACGTTTATTTGTAACCTGGAAACGTTGTTCAAGCTATATCTAATGTACCCTCCACGTGCTTGGTTAACTGCCTGTGCCCTACGTGGCATACCCCCGTCGATCGTCGTTTCCGTTGAAGAGGAAACTGTCGCCATTTCTTGTGCAAAGCTGCTTCCAACTCTAGCCGATTGTAAACAGGTGGTACACATGCTTATATCCGCTGCCCGATAACAACTGGGGTACAACAACTGGACCCGGCACGTCCTGGATATACTGAGACCAAACCCCACACCATGACGGAGTCTCCACCAAAGGCAACAGTTGGTTGCATGGGGGTATTTTTGCTGCAAATGTTGTATTTCTCTGCCTCCGAACTCTCAAGCGTCCATCGGTTACACGAGGAAGGGATCAGCGTTCATCAGACCAATGTATGGCCAAGTCCTCATATTCCAGCGTTGCCATCGTAAACACGAAGCCAAACGTTCTTTTGGTGAATATCGCTCAGTAGAAGACGTTTGATGACCAACCTCTCCACAGAAGATTATGGACTGTCCCCGTAGAAATCTGGAGAAATGGTAACCAGTGGTGTTTCAGAACAGTGCTTGTGGCAAATAATGCCCTCTTCACGATCTGACGTCGCCCTGGGTCGTCACCTCTCCTCTTTGGTGTTCCTATAAAGTCTGACCAATCGACTGACCACTGTGTAGTGGAAATTCATTTCCCGACCAATTTCTTTAAAGGACATACCGGTGACTGCATACCCATAATTTCTCCTTGGGAAACCTTTTCCACCAAGTACACTTGCAATAATTCCTTAGATGACATTATCATACGTATCATCATACACGAGCTGAACTTGAAAACAGTTCTGTTAGCGGTCAATCTAGGGGTGCTTAACATTTTCCCAGATGTATACATCAGCTTAGACTAACAACTAGTCTCTGAAATGAACAGATTTTACTGAAAATAGTTCATAGTAAAAAAAAAATATAATGAAAAGGAGCCCTGAGACTTTCTTCATTTCAGTGAGGAAATCTAGACTTGCCACATTTTCTAGACTTGCATGGGCTTTCTTGGATATATTTGCTGCAGGGTCTGCACGACAGACTAACATCAGCTCTGATAACACCATTTACATTGCAGTACCTATAGAGTACATGTACTTATGTAGATGACAAGGTACACTTCGTTGAGTGAGTGAGTCATTATTTAACGTCACATCGTCAATGTGTCGGCAAAACCATGATAAATACATCATATCACGAAATACATTTACACTGTAAAAGACTGTCGTCAATGGACAGCAAAACAACTAGAGTACCCCAGATTCTGACTTCTAGCATCTAGCATATTTTAGTAAAAGATCCCAATATAGGGAACGACACAATATAAAACTGGGCTATAGATAGCCAGCTACTGAAGGTAGATGGCCATACCTGGGCCCCGTTCAATAAAGTTCTCGTAAGCGTCTCGTAACTTTTCTCGTAGCAATCGTACTTCATATATTGGGCCTAGATTTTCGAAGCTCTCTTAGCGGTAAGATATTATTAAGTCGTAAGTACCATACATTAACATTATCTTACGACTATCTTAGCGCTAAGAGAGCCTCGAAAATCTAGGAACTGTAGCATAGATTTACGACAGTCGTAGTGCTACGATAGCTTTGTGAAACGGGGCCCAGGTCCCATGTTGACTTGCAGTAGTGTTCACCCACTTCACCCAGTTTTTACCCGTTTGGTACCAACAACTAATTAAATGATGTTGACATGAGGTGATCTGGTATAGTCCGTCTGTAAAGATTGATTTGTCAGTATCATACTTCTTTAATCGTGATATTGCTGTTGGTAAATAAGTTGGTTTCTTTCAGATGTCTTCTAATTAGTTAAGGTTAGGACTCCCTCTTTCCTTACTAACTGCCATGGTGGAGAAGTGAAAAGCTGAGTTGGGACTATGTTTTCAAGACCTATTTTAGCTGAAGAAATATCAGATACAATATGGTCATCAGTGAAATATCATAACAGTAAAAAAAAAAAATATTTACGGACAATGAATATTGTCGAAAAACTTTTAAACTAATGTTTTATATCAAGCATGATCTAGAAAGTATGCATTGCGGAGCATCAAAGGATCAGATTATAGCCAGATTCTATTGCCATGCAACATGCACTCATGTCATTCCAAAACACTCCAGTTTGGAATCGCTTGTCAGTGAATGTTGTAGCCGAAATCCACAACCTGTTGTGAATTTCTTGCTCTAAGTTGCGGACTATCCGCTCACTATTCACCCATTTAACAAACTTATGCGTTGTTATGTAGCTGTGCTGTGTGAATACAAAAAACAGAATTGGTGATCACAAGATAATGTAAAACCTATGAAGAGTGTAAACATAGAATCTTATTTTCAAGGATCAAATACGTGTAACTTTGTATTGAGACAATTGATATCAACAGACACTTTGACCACTTGCTTCAAACTAACTCTTGTTAACGCGACATCTTTTACATGGACTGTTGTCCCAAAGGCAATGTCTTCAAATTTGGTGACAGCCTACATTAAAAAAACACACATTAAAACGGGGATGTAAATTACGCAAGTACACCGATTGATTTGGGTGACCTTGACCTTACTTTCATTATTGAAACATTATATTATCTCATATTTTGACTACAAAAATACGTGATCATTGTATCACTACCCACGTTTTCATGATCACAACCCAAAAAGGATGAACGAGTTGGCTAATTTATTTAAAACATGGAAGCCATTTTGTTGGATGCGCCACGCAAATAACTAACTAAGTGCATGAACTTATCTGTATGTTTCCTTTGTGAATAAACATTAATATGACAATGGCGAGCATATAAAAAGGCCTATTAGATAGCTCTCTAGAGCTATGTTTAACTTTACGTTTGGGTTAGTAGGTAGAATGGTACCGTTTGCAGAACATCTGTTCTCTATTTTCTGCTAACAGTGTTATTTGTGTATGTTTATTAAAGTGATTATGAAGAAATGTATTAACGATTTTAGGAATATGGTGGCATGGACGACAAACAACCTTGACCAGCTATCAAACTGCACTCCGTTAATCCTTTCAAATAGAAACAAAATATTATTTGTCGACTTGCTGAGTGATGTGATCATTGTTGATTGATTGACGTATAATTGACAAAACAGGCATCCCTCCAAGAAATGGCGGTTGAGCACCAGGGAGTGCAATCTTTATATTCTCAATAATTTCTGTTGTACTGTATAACTGCACAATAGATGACATGGACGAATTTGACTAATTCCTTATAAATGAAACAAAATATTCTTTGTCGCCTGAGTGATGCATTGTTGATTGTTGATGTAAATTGACAAAACAGTTTCAAGATGCTGCCATTTCCAGTAGTATCTGCTAGAAGACATATATTTGAAGACATCATATTCTGTAAGTTTGGATTGAAATTTGAAATGTGTAATTACAACTTAAATTTAAAGCTAAATAATTAACTGTGTGTAATTCCCTCCCCACCAACATTTTAATGTACTACTTTCAGGACCAAGATGATACCAAGTTAAGACCTCAAATGGATTTTTAATAAGTGTCTTAATTTAGAAAAAGGGATAGCATAATAAAGAAATTTCGACTTTACACTAAGCAAACAAAGTGAACATAACACAATGAATACTTTTCATACATCCAGGCTCCCAGTCAAAAACAGAACATGACAAGGACATTGCAAGAAAGGCTTGGCTGAGCATCTAGGGTGTATGATTATCACAATGCTGGTCTTCTTGTAACAGAAGATGTAATAAGAGATGATAGGCAATAGCCAGCTCCCTTTATATACACAAGAAAATAATGTAGCAACTTCTACTATATTCTCAGAAACTACACTCATTTATTAGCATCCTGCAGTACATTCAAGACCTTTCTGCGTAAATCAAGTACAAGTCTAAATAAAACACACCGCTGACCCTTACTGAATCTCCAGGTACAATGTCTGTGTAAAATTTGAAACATTGTTACACGGTACTGCCACATAACACTGAACAAATATGGATTAACTATTACCTAACGGGCGCAATGGGAGTATTTAGTCACATGTTTGAAACATTATTTTCCATTATATATTGTAAATAAGCACGTTTAAGCTGGGAAACAAATACTGTTTATTCCTGATTCCTCGTAACCGATATCTAGCATACATGTACGTGCTTTTGCGTATGCGTTGGTCAAAACCTGTTTAGTTCCACTGACAAATAGTGTCTCTTTGCTCCTTTGCAAACACAGATAACTGTGCCTCGTGTCGACTGCCCGATGGGCTTGAAATCTATTTGGGTTGCAAATCTACCTCCTATAAACCCATTAGACAACATTGCCTGATGTCCCCATGACTGCGTGTTACGAATTCATTGTGTTCCTGGGGAACATAATTGTTTGTTTTTATTATTCAGTTTCTGTTTGTGAAAGATAATTTGTTGGTTCATTTCAGATGATCATGCACCGCCTTGGTACTTCTCCACACGATATTTCATAGCTTCAGTTGCCTCCTTTGGTATCGCGAATACGTTCCTTCAACGCGGCGACCTCAGCATGGCCATCGTCTGCATGGTCAACCACACTGCTGTGGACATCCTCAAATACGGCCATTCCATGAACGACAATGTCAGCATCTTCACCAACGCCACAACGAGACATGTGTACAACGGAATCAACATGAATATATCTAACACGACTTCTATCATGAGAGTCAATATCACGGATGAAGAGCATTCACATCATTTTTGTGACACACAGATATCTGCAGTAAATACTCAAGAGCGAGAGGTGAGTTTGAGAAGTATGATTATACTAATCATGTGTTCAAGGGCTTTCGTTTTTTGTGTAATCTAAGCCAAATCGTTTGTAATTTCAGTGGTTTCTAATATAGCCTAATATTAAAATAATACTATTATTCATTTACTAGTATATTTCCAAACTGCGGAGAAACATAGGAATTACAGTTTCATATTCACCCCATGAGCAATTGATAGCTCCATTCATATTTAGTGCTTGTTGGAATGACTAAAAAAAGTATGTTTCTTGCTTTAATTTCCTTTCCATTTCCAAACAGGACGGGGAGCTGGTTTGGGACAAGGAGACCCAGGGCCTTGTCCTGGGCGGACTTTATTGGGGCTATATGGGTCTCCAAATTTTCTGCTCATTTATTATTCAACGATGGGGATCAAGGAAAGTTGTGGCGACCGGGATGTTCTTTATGTCAGTACTGACGTTGTTGACACCGGTCACAGCATGGTGGTCTCCCTGGGCAGTGCTCGTACTCAGGGCAATTATTGGAGTTTTCAATGTAAGTATCATTCTACTGCCAGAGGAAGGGTTGGAGTGTGTGCACAACAAATCATTTGTTCTTCTGTGCATCAATTTACATTAATCCTTACTTTAATCTTTAATTAATTAAATGTTAGAAAAAGTCAGACACTGGTGGAATCTAATCTGTGATGAGAGAGAGAGAGTAATGCGCAACAGAGTTCTTCACGAGACAGATATCTGTATTTAACTCTGTAAGAGGGCGTGTAAGAACGACTGTTGTGTTTACCAGGTAGGTAAGCAGTCAGGCATAGACAGTTGCATATAACGTTCTTCTGTCCGCACTCTCCATATCGTTGTGTTGTGTTCGCCGAGAGTGCATATTATTACGTTCTTCTACCCCCATAATGCCTTAGGCCAGATAGGGTAGGAGCCTATTATCCTAAATTCCTCGATCATTAAATCTGATACATAAAATGTGATCCAATACTTTAAATTCCCTAAGATGTAAGCTATAGACAGGTTTGTGTCACTCTCATGTTATAGGGTTTCACGATAGCAGGAAGCTTTGCTCTTTGGGGAACATGGGCACCTCCTGCCGAGAGAACACGCCTCATATGCATCACCTTCTGTGGCAACATGGCCGCCACAGCTCTGGTGTTTCCCCTCTCAGCTTCCCTCTGTAAGCTGGACTTCGCTGGAGGATGGCCCTCAGTCTTCTATTTATACGGTAGGAATTTTTGCCATTCAGGTATTAAACCATTCTTAAATATGCCCAATATTTTTTGGTTTCGTTTGAAGCCGCACTCAACAATATTCCAGCCACATGGCGGCGGTATGTAAATAATCTGAACAGGCAATCTAGTTTTGACATCATGGGCATCAGTGTACGCAACATCTGACTAGTCATCTAGCATGACCACACTGTTGCGTTTGTCGTCACTTTCGACACGCGTAGCCGCCTTTGACGAAAATTGTAAATCAAGGTTTAGCCGGATTTTCACGATATCTGGATGCCATGTGTAATGTTATTCGATCATCTTACAGGTGTCCTAGGTATATGTTGGACATTTGTCTGGATCTACAGTGTGTACGATGACCCTGCAGACCATCCCAGAATACACCCAAAGGAACGCCAGTATATAGAAGCAGCACTGGGAAAGTCGACAAAGAAAGACGTGTCAGTAGGTCAAAAACCTTTTCTAAGATATTGAGAGGTTACAGGGTTAAATGATTACGAGAGTTAGAGATAGACGAGGTAATACATTAAACTGTGTATACTTTGTAACGAACATGCTTATAATGAACTGACGGATATGACTGCCTGAAACTGGTTGGGGATTCTGCGCCATTGCTCTTGCAAGGGCACCAAGTCCCAAATTCAGAGGTTGGTTCCTAAGACCACGAAGCCTTCTCCCAAGTGCATCCCAAACGTGCTCTATTGGATTAAGGTCAGGGGACCTCGATGGTTCACACTATTTCGTGTCAACATCGCGGTATGCGGACGAGAGTATTATCATGTTTAGTCGAAAACTGGCATGACGAACTACGGATATAACGAACTGACGGGTATTACGACGTCGTCTCCAGACTCTATGCCTGCCGTCCGCGAATTTGAGGGTAAACCTGGATTCATCGAAACTGTTTCGGGGCCCCAGGCGCCTACTATATTTTGGCAGTCGAAAATTCGTGTAACGAAATACGGTTATACCAACCTAAAATTATTGGTCCCTCGCAAGTCATACACAGTACGACGGCTTCGAGTTCATTATAGCGTTAGAACTGTTTCGATGCGAAGATCACGTGATCGACTGGGTCCCCGAGTTCATACTATAATTCTAGTCGAAAATACGGATATAACGAACTGGTATGAATCACTACGGTTCATTATAACGAACTGACTACGGTTATAACGAACTGACGGGTATTACGAACTGTTTCGGGACCCTGGCGCCTACTATATTTCAGTCGAAAATTCGTCTTACGAACTACCATTATCCCAAAACTAAAATTATTGGTCCATTCGAGTTCGTTATAACCGTAGTATTCTGTATTAGAAAATACGCTACCGTCAGGATTGTATGTTTTCTTAGAGATGTATTTGAGGGTGTCAGTTGCTTCAAGAATCAACTCTTCCCGCATCTACATGAGTGAGTGAGTATGGTTTTACGCCGCTTTTTAGCAATATTCCAGCAATATCACGGCGGGGTACACCAGAAATGGGCTTCACACATTGTAGCCATGTTGGGAATCGAACCCGGGCCTTCCGCGTGACGATCGAATGCTTTAACCACTAAGCTACCCCACCGCCTGCATCTATATGAGGACCTTTCACACGCGTATCACAACTATAAATTTAGCTCATAGTTTCATGAACATGAGGGGCGGTGGGGTAGCCTAGTGGATAAGCGTTGGCTCGTCACGCCAAAGACCCGGGTTCGATTCCCAACATGGGTACAATGTGTGAAGCCCATTTCTGGTGTCCCCCGCCGTGATATTGCTGGAATATTGCTAAAAGCGGCGAAAACCATACTCACTCACTCACTCACGAACATGTGTTGTGTGAGCTGGGCATGTATGATGGTCTTTGATTTGATGAAACACAGAGCCCATTGTGCATTATTGTTTATTGTATTTAATGGACACGATTAGCTGCGCTGTAATTACGACATTCTTCCCATGATTATTTATGAAATATTTTCATTATTTTCAGTTCACTGTATCTTATCGTAGTTGGAATTACAGATGTAATTTCAAGGCTAAAGTGTATGTGCAGACATGTTAACAATTGTTCATGGGCTTTTAGTTTCCATTAATCTCCCAAAGGATTTTAATGTAAGTTTTCCGGATGGATATATTTTGTCTTTGCTTGGTAAAACCCATTTTCAACAAAGGCAAATGTAATTACAAAACTATCAATTTTGCATAATTTGGCATGGCTACACATATTTTACTGTTACAAAATGATATCAGATAAACAATATCGCAGATGATGATAAGTTGAACTTCAACACAAGGGAAATTGGCAATATAAGCAGAAACGTTCAAAATGAAACATCAGTAAAAGAGTCCAGGTCGTGCCCATCAGCATGCCTGCGTCTTGTCTGAATGTCATAAATTCACATTTCATATTGATATGATCTATGAGTAAGTCCAGATGTGATCAACTAATCTTTGAGAAAGAGTTGTTTGATGTTATTGTACCGCTAGTGAATTTCAATATTTATCAAGAGATTGATATTGAGACTTAGACGGTAAGTGTGACTGGTTTGAAACTACACTCTGGATGCTTACTCGCGTATAAAATTCAGATGCGATTTTTGTCTCCCAAAACAGTTGGATTATATTTATCGGATTATAATTTCTGAAAAAAAAATTAACGGACAGGTACTTACTTTCCATAATATACTATCCCAAAAAAGAAACCCATAGGCATTTTGTATTTTTAAAATATATTAATTACCTATTGTCTTCAAACAATCGTCACAATATGTAACAAAAGTGTTGATAACATGATTTTACACAAATATAGAAGTCAAAAATCGACTTTACCTGAATGTAAATTTTGATGAGATTTCTTTCAAGGGTTAAAAAGGCATCGCCACATCGCAACAGAAATCACCTTCCAGTTGAAACTGTGCAGCTAAAAATCCAGATTACTTTCGGAAATCGGCATTCGTTTTGAAGAAGTTTCAAGATCAAATCACTACGCAACGTCTTGACGCTGCGACACGGAACATCGCCATTGAAAGAATGCACGCTGTAGATTATCAATCTTCTGTTGCCAGGCGTCTGAATGTTAGTCTGAGCACGATATCACGGCTTGCAGCTCGTTACAAACAAACAGGTATAATAAATGACCGTCCCGTACAGGCAGACATCGAGTCACCACTGCAGCCCAAGATCGGTACATCCGGGTACTATATTTGTGTGATCGTACTGCCACGGGTGAGAGCACAGCAGCTAGGGTCCCTGGACTTCGGAGGATATCCGGTCAAACGGTACGGAACTGGTTGAGAGAGATTGGACAGAGAGCCAGAAGACCCGACGTCGGGACTGTGCTACGTCATCGACATCGCGCTCAGCGTCTCCGTTAACTACAATTATCCACTTGGTTGTATAGACCTTACCTTCTTCTAAACTGATGTAAAATTTCATGTACTAAACTCTATTTGTGGACGAGTTATACATGTTTAAAAATACACCATTTTCGCAACAGATTTCGGGGTTATGCGTTTCTTTTTTGGAATAGTATATATTTATATAATATGTATAATATATATATATATATATATATATATATATATATATATATATATCAGGATAGTTTCCACCTGAATCAAAGAACTTAACAAGTGCTTGTATGTACAAAATGATATAAGCAGAACACTGTTGTATTTCCGTTGTCACAACCTGGTGAGAAATTCACCATTAAAGGATCAATGCTTATGACCTTAGGCTTTAAGGCACAGCGTTTTGTTTGGGGAGCATAGGCGCACACTATGTAGTATTTCGAGCTCTATGGGCAGTATTGTACATAGGAACAATTAAGCTGCCGTTGGGTGTGTTTGTGGGGCAACAGATGATTCTGATCATAATGGATATGTTTTGCTGATTTCATCCCTTAAAATTATACAAATTAATGTGATTTATGCACTCACATCTCTTGTTAATCTGAAATCTTGCATATATTACGATAATTTGTATCTTAACAACAGCATCTAGTTATTGGTGTTCTATCCGCTGTTCTCACCTGCAGGTACCTACCCCGTGGCTGGATATATTTACTTCATTACCTTTCCTTGGAATAATATGTGCACAGACTACATACAACTGGGGGCTGTTCCTCATGATGTCCAACCTACCCATCTACATGATGGAAGTACTGCATTTCGACATTAAATCGGTCAGCTCATATACTGAAACCTTGAGTGAGTGAGTGAGTTTGGTTTTACGCCGCTCTTAGCAACATGTGAACGGGGAGCAACATAAATGGGCTTCACACATGGTACGCATGTGAGGATTCGAACCCAGTTCTTCGGCGTGACGATCGAACGCTTTAACCACTAGGCTACCCAACCGCCCCTGAAACCGTGAATAATCAAGCATATTATGAGTATAAAGAGCTATGCTTACATCGAACAGGGCGGTGGGGTAGCCTAATGGTTGAAGCGTCCGCTCGTCACGCTGAAGACCCGGGTTCGATTCCCAACATGGGTACAATGTGTGAAGCCCATTTCTGGTGTCCCCCGCCGTGATATTGCTGGAATATTGGTAAAAGTGGCGTAAAAACCAAACTCACTCACTTACACCGAACTAAAGTTAATGGCCCTTTGAGTTTGTAATAATCGTAATTACTGTATATGAGTGAAAGTGATTGTTAAGATCCAAACCATGGTGAGAAGTAGTTCCTGTTGCAGTAATTCACGTATCACATACATCGCAGAACTATTCTGAAACCGGTTACTTAATGAAATGATTGTATATTTTACGACTGCTTATCTAAAGCATCATCATACATACAGGTTTGTGTCAGGAATACTTTTAAGAGTCAAATCAGTATAAACTTATCTACATTCAGTCATTTTGAAATAACATTAGCCTGAGGTTACACTGAACCCTTAACTAGTCTGACATGCATTGTACGTGGCGGTAAATGCTATCAACAAATTGCCTTAGATGCCGACGACGTAAGACATATAAGGGCTGAAGGTATGGAACATGAATATAATTTGTCTCAAGTATTTATTACACTTTTGTTTTCATTACGATTCCTTCCAGAATGGCGTATATTCCCTCATCCCATACCTCGCCATGTTCCTCATCTTGCTTCTCGGCTCTTTCTGTGCGGATGCACTCATAGAGAAACAGTTACTCAGCGTAACGTATACCAGGAAACTCATGACAGTTATAGGTAAGTATTTATTGAATCCTTGCAGGTAATACCTTCCTAACAGTATAGTTTATGATCACTTTCGAAGCGTTGCCAGCCCTCTGATGATTAGATAAGAAGGACATCCCAGATGTTGAACAAAACAATAATGCATACAAATCTAGATGTATTTGTGTAACAGACAATATAAATATATATAATAGTTATAAAATATATTGCTATTTAAGTCCATGTCCAAGCAGAAGTTGAAGATCAAGAAACATTTATTATTATTAATGCATACCAGCAAGTGTAAATTAAGGCATGAGTAAATGACATATGATTTTTTTCAGGTCATCTTGTCCCTGGTATTCTGTTGATCATACTGAGCTATCTGGACTGCACCCAGAGTCACATTGCCGTGGCCATTCTGACGTTAGCCATAGGCCTTGGTGGCTTCGCTTTCAGTGGAATCTTGGTCAACTTCTACGACATTGCCCCAGTATTTGCTACAAGTATCATGACTGTGTCCAACGCCATAAGCATGATATCGGGCATATTGGCCCCTACGTTGTTGCAGAGATCACGAAAGATGTACGAAAATTGATTTATATGTCTTGTTAACATTCCTATACATGTATCCGACACATTTACGAAGGGTGACAGGTACATAATGATTGTGCAATGCGTGGGAACGACTGGTGCCCAGGAAACCTGTACAGGGCGACCTCATGGATCCGGTGGTTCATCTGCGCTGCATTACGCAAAGGGCGCTCTCATGAAGCTGATTGATTGATTGTTGTTTAACGCGTCACTCATGCCAGCTATATGGCGGTGGTCTGTAAATAATTGAGTCTGCACAGGACAATCCAGTGTTCAACATCCCGAGCATCGATCTACGCAATTGGGAACCGATAACATGTGTCAACCAAGTCAGCGAGTCTGACCACCCTATCCCGTTAGTCGCCTTATACGACAAGCATGGGTTGCCGAAGATCAATATTATAACCAGGACCTTCACGGGTCCTATTTAGCGGAAAGATAACAGGAACAAAGAACACATTCTTATATGCGCATTCTTCATGGCTGTTAATTGTGTATTATGTCCACTGGCGAACAGGTTTTGATAAAAGTACAATGTGTGACGACAGAGCCAAACAACTGCATACAGTTATAACTGATGAAGCTATATATCTATACAAAGTTTTTGTCACCTCAATGTGATTTAAAGAAACTTATCCCAATGACATACTTTTACTATTACCATTGCTATTTCAGCTGATAGAGAAACACGATCATTTTGTTTCAACCCAGGATCCTACAACCATAATATAAAATTTACATCATCTGAATATATATACAGATAGATTAATAAATACATGTAAAAAAACGTACAATTATTATTCACTTATTCTCAATTATGAATGTTTTATTTCTTACATTTCAGAAAACTAGAGAACAATGGCAGACCGTATTCTTCCTCACTGCTGGTCTGCTTGGGTTTGGAACTGTCGTGTACCTGATTTTTGGACAAGGTCGCGTACAGAAGTGGGCCGTCATCCGAGACATGCCGGAGGAAGAGATAGCTCTTCCTTCTTGACGAACAATCCATCTAAACTGTAAAACTTTGGCATTCTTTTGCAGTCTCAGGTCATGTTTAATATGTTATTGTCACAAACCTGATTAAAATATGTTTAATATAGTGCACATGCTTGTGAATATACAAATTAAGAAGGCTTCCTATGCAGATCTGGGTATTTAGCAATGCATGCTGGGTGCAGGAGGCGAACTCTTGGGTCTGTTGGTGTGGCTAGCTGACTTAATCAATACATGAAATCATATACAAGTTGATCTTCAGGGCGTCCATGACTGGATTTTCTGGCCCAAACTCGATTACTTACACACCTCTTTCATATGTTTGTTCACACAAATGGGTATAACGTTTAGCGCTATTTCCATTGTTATAAGATCTAAGAACTAAGGTCATTGGTACCTTTGAGTTCGTTATAACCGTAGTTATTGTGCCTACGATAATAGAAACACGTTTGGTTCAGACCATGATCAAAACGTCCTCTACTGATACCCGTGAAGATCTGTGTCAGAATTCAGTAACCCATGCTTGTCGTATACGTAAGAAGCGACTACAGGTTGGAAGGTCCGGATCTCTTGGTTGATGCATGACATCGTTTCTTAATAGTGTAGATCGATGTCCATGCTTTCAGTCACCGGATTGTCTGGTCCAGACTTGCGTATTCATCGACCGCTTTCATATAGCTGAAATATGGCTGAGTGTCACGTTATTGGGACGGACATACATTCAGAAATACGCCTTGAACATTCATACATCGAGTTGACGATTTGCCTGCCACTTCACCTGATTGTAATCTCTGGGAAATATCGGACAGATCATGGTTAACAATAGTACAATGTAAGGACAATATCGCCGAGAAACGAAAATACAACCCCAATCTACCATAGACTGGTTAACAGTATGACGAGCCATACAATGTGTGTCCCATTTCTGGTGCCCCTACCCCCCCCCCCCTCCCCCGATATTGCTGGAATATTCCTAACAGAGGCGTAAAACTAAACCTCACTCACGAGGCACTTAAACCAGTCACGACACCCACGGTCCTATCATGTTCTACTAGCATTGTTCTTGTGAACAGTTACACGGTTTATACCATAAGAACACTGAAAAATATTATGTATTTGTTGATAATATATGGCTGAACTTTTTTGTCAAAATGCCATGATAGTTGCATGCCCCTCACTACTGTCAGAATGTCTACGGACTGACGAGGAAGGATATGAAAATCACTCTGAAAGGTGCAGATATGTTCACACACAAAAGAGTCAAAATGCAATTTAATGTGCAGTAATATCAAATATTCACTGCACTGGAGTTTACGGAAGAGTAATATCGCACTTAGTTTTCTTCAAATGCTGTCATCACATGGTTATAAAGTTAACATCCAACTGAATAAACCTTCAGGATTACCGTAGAGGTTTGAATGGCAATACAGCAAAACAAAACTGAAAAAATAATACAAATCGTCCTTCTGCACTGTACGGCAATTCGTAATAAGGACATCCCGTAAAGCAACAAACACTTGCTATCTGATCGTATGTTGAACATACATAATATGCCTATGTGGTGGTGTGCTATGCTTAGATTTGAACTATATTTAGATAGAGTACATCCAGAGCTTTCAATTATATTTTGAACTATGGAATGGGATAATTTTCTGGAGTCTTTCGTAAGTATGAATGGAATGCTAACGCTGTCTCACATACATCCCAAGTTACAAGAAGACCAACAATTGTGTTCTTACCCAGGATACTCAGCCGAGGCCTAATTTTGGAAACTTTACCATATCTGTCCTTATTGCTATAATCAGTTTGTGCATTTTACTGCCCTTCAATTAAATAAATGTCGAGACCGTTGGATTTCAAACCAGCCATGGTTTGTCTGATTATTTACCTTGCAGAACTAGAACAAAATGAAATTCTTCGCTGCAGGAATACAGCTGGACATTATGGGGTATTTGACTATTGGAAAGTTGAAGTCATCCCCTGGCTATATAGATCGCACAAGCTGGAAACTAAATGGTAGAAGAAATAGTGTTTCCTTTAAAGAAATAGTGTAAAATTTGCTCTTCTGGTCTTGAAGAAGGCCGGTTCCAGTTTCGGCTTATGTGCTCTGCATATGAGTATTTACCACATATTTGATTTACCATCCGCCAAGCCTGTTTATCTAAGGATCCTCTCTGTTACTTTCCAGAAATTTGATTGTCAATTTCTCAAATTCCTACTCTGTATAAAGCTAGAACAGAAAACAGTGACCTTGATAAAAATGGGCCTAAACGTTTGTTTGATGTCAATTTCATAATAGTTAAATGTGCTACCATGTCTATGTTTCAAACGTAATATATACCAGAATATTGCTGTATTTGACTTATCTTATCATTCGTGTTTACATTTCGAAAAGTAATGGACCCGTGAAGGTCCGGGTTAGAATGAGCCTTCAGTAACCCATGCTTTTCGTAAGAGGCGACTAACGGGATAGGGTGGTCAGGCTCGCTCACTTAGTTGACACATGTCATCGGTTCCCAATTGCGCAGATCGATGCTCATGCTGTTGATCACTGGATTGTCTGGTCCAGACTCGATTATTTACAGACCGCCGCCATATAGCTGGAATATTGCTGAGTGCGGCGAAAAACTAACCTCACTCACTCACTCGAAAAGTAATGACAGTGAAATTATACCAATGTTGTAATCCCATGATACACAATCGTTGTTGTTACCGTTTTTTCTGCAAAATACTTATTATAGTAATAATTAGTTAGCTGATAGGTTGTTTATGTTTTCCAAATATATATAACCAACCATGAATGTCTTACAAGATAATGTGACGTTAAATAATAACTCACTCGCTCACTCACTTACAAGATAATAACGTATCCAGTTCATGTAAACATATGAACATTTATAATAATATTACGTTTGATAAATATTTTGATAGTTCATGAAGGGTATTACAGCTCTGATTTTTGAATATCTGATTAAATCTTGTTTTGTTAAGACGCTAAACTAATGCTACATACACGTGCTTGCTATGAAGATAATTATATCAAATTTGTTATTATATGATTGCTATGCTTAATGGTTGCGATTTCAATGTGAATACCTTGATCATATTCCATTCTTTAAAATTCATTGTGTATTATCTAAAAAGTAAGTGAATAACTGACAATCCGTGACAGGCTGGCATGAGTGCATTTAAGGAATTATATGCCGGCAATAGTCCCATCAGAGCAATTAACATCCTGGTGTGCATCAGTGATGAAGTCGGCCGTTCTGCAACAATACTCAGCAGCAACAAATACGTCAGTACGAATTCAAAATGAGATAGGCACTGTAATCAAATCATTACAGAAATGGACATAATGAGTAGATCAAAAACATTTTGTGTACAATATTTTGACACATCAAGCAATAACTTCAAGACATTACGTTTACGTTTGCAGTCCATTCAGACTCTTGACTTCAGTATCTAGTGTGACCACCACGAGCGGCAATAACTGCAGCACAGCGTCTATGCATGGAGTGCACCAATCGATTGATGAAGGCCATTGGCACCTAGAACCACACTGAGAGAAAGGCAAGGCGCAATAAATCGGCTGTATTTGGCCTTGGTATGACATTATTCAGTCTCCTCTGAATTTCATCCTAAAGATGTTCAATTGGGTTTAAATCAGGACTAAGGGCTTCCCACTGCATAATGTTGACACCTTCCTGCTGTAGGAAGTCCCGTATAGCTCTGGCAGTATGGGCCAGGGCGTTATCAAGCTGGAAAATTTTCCGGTGACGTTCGAAATTTGGTATGACGTGGGGTCTGAGAGCTTGGTCGATGTAGCGCACTGCTGTGATGCCGCCTCCTCTCCCTGGACCAAGGTTCTGGAACACCACAGGACCCACTCTCTGGTTCAGGCTTATTCCACACCATACCATGATGCTTGCACCTCCCCATGAGTCTCTTGCCATAACACATTGGTCTGAGTAACGCTGGCCACGTCGTTGCCATATTCTTGTTCTGCCATCTGCAGTTGAAACGCAGTGCCGACTCTCATCTGTGAACAGAACAGTTCTCCATTGCCTGTATCGCCAGTTTTGGTGTTGTAGGGCAAACTGTAGACGTTCACGCCGATGACGAGGGGTGAGGAAAGGTCCACGGTAAGGTCTACCGCAATGGAGGTTCCCGCTGTTAAGACGTCGCCGTACTGTATCAGTACTGATTGGTCTTCCGTGTGTTCCCACTGTCTGGCGTGCTGTTTCGGATGCCTGCATGAAGGGATTCTGTACATGCTGTCGCACAACATGGCGGTTTTGTCGTAGAGGGTAATGTCCGAGTAACTCTCCATTCCTTAAAAATAATGGAGCCGAGGCCCCAGAGGCCAAGTTACGAGGATATTACCCTTCTTAAATTACATTCGAAGTATTGGGAATATTTCTGTTATCAAAATGAAATGTCAAAACGACGAAATGAAGGTTTTATTTTGAAACTGGTACACATCGCTCCATTCCTGTAAAGTAATGGAGCGAACAGACAATGGAATGACGTCACAAATGTAATTTAAGTCTTGTTGTCACCCTTGGTCAGCCAGTATGTATGTATGTGTGTGTGTGTGTGTGTGTGTGTGTGTGTGTGTGTGCGCGCGCGTGCGTGTTTTATGTTAATCCCACTGGAGTATTTTCCAGACAAAACAGCAAGGGTAAATGTATTCTAGCCCTATCCTTTGAATGTATGTCGGTTTGTCATATCATAACGATATCAATCCGTCTGATTCATGTGTTTACGGAGCTAAATAGGATTGTATACAACCAGACAGACGCATGTAATGAGACCGAGTGTGTTATTTTTTTTATTACCCACGTCTTAAAAGCATTAAATTGAAAAAATAACATTATTTGTTATTGTTATGGTTTCAAACCAAAACCGGTTTCATAAAGATTTTGCGGAAGAATTTTGTTCTTTTGTCACTTTTGCATGACGTGACACGGTATTGACGTCACTGCGCCATTTTCGTCTGTCTCCTTGGTAACCGCCGTCACGATGCATGTCAGTTGTCATCGCCTCGTACAGCCTCCTA